ACGGTGTTTCATCGTGTCGTTCAATCGGTTCTCAGCTTCCGTCTCCAATCTGGTGGCTGTTTTCATTAGAGGATCCAACTCAAACTCTTCTATTCCGTAGAGACTAATCAAAATCTGAAAAAACAAAATAAACTTCAAATCTTCCAAGAATCGATTGATTGCTTTTTACTCTCATTATACATCATAAATTCAATGCTGCCAAGGCCTCCGCCTTCTTGACGAATGCAACGCCCTCTTCGCGCAAGGCTTTTTCTTCTCCAAGTTTTTCTCCCAAAACTTTCTCCGTTTCCTGACCGCAATTTGCGCCTAATTTTTCTTCATCTTCTCCGCAGACTGTCTGTGTCAGCATCTCGGCAGGCGCCTTAAGAGTGTTGTCCTTAATGTTGTAGATCACTTGCGTCACGTCTGCGGCTTCTTGTGCTGCAGCAGCAGCGCCTGCAGCTACAGGAAAAGGTGTCGTTGTAGCGGTTGACCAGTTTGATGAGATGTTGACGCCACCAACGATGCCGGTTCCATTTCCCGGTGGCAAAGTCGTTGTGGTTGTAGTGGTTCCGGCAATGAGAGACCCAATCGCCCCAAGCGCCGCACTGGCAATAATGCCCGCTGGAGAAGTACTAGCTCCCAACTGGTTTAAGATTTAGCGCTTGCAACAATTCATCTTGTATTAAGATCTTCATACAGTCCCAGAATCCAAGAGGAAAACTGAGAAAGATATTTTTCACGATTTTTTAACCTGTGAAGAATATTAACGATTTAACCTCCTGTGAAAATGAATGTGAATTATCATGAGCCTTAAGAGATTCCTGTCAGTGCCTGCCCTGCGGGATCGAGCTGAATGTAAGGAGATCGATCGTCCTTGAAATCAACGTCCTTGTACTCTTCTTTATTCTGGATTTCCTCCAGGTCCTTCGTTGCTCGCTCAACAGCCTCCTTGGCGATCATTACACGCACTTGCGCTTCAGCAAGTTCCACCCGTGCGGCAGCGTTCGCCGCAACGGCGTCGTCGTAAAAGGCGTTAGAGCCGATCTCAAACGAAGTTGAGCCTACTGTGGTTAGTTTATTAATTTCACAGCACGAAAGAAAACCATCACCAAACTAAAGGTCTTAACTTCTTTCGCCAACAAGTAGTCCCTCGTCGTTGCTTCCTCGACCGCTCGTGCAGTTTCCAAGCCTGCTTTTGTGACATTTCGAGAAATCTCGCGTTCCACAGCCTTGCGCTCTCTTGCCGCGACGTGGACTTCATGCCGCAGCCGGTTCTGATACCGTGTACATTTCACACCCCAAGGCTCGCAACCGGTCAAATCGAAATCGTCGTCCCACCAGTGAGAAGTCGGAATCTTCACGGTCTTGTCTTTGTGCCTGTCTAGAGACGAGTGCAGAAGAAGTTTCCTGGCATTCTGCACTTCGGTTGCTAGCGCCTTCCACACCTCCTGCTCTTCCTCGGAAGACATGGATTTAGCGTGAGAAGAGGAGAGTCGATGGAAGACGAAACTCTAGCCGAACAAGAAGTCCATCATGCAATGGAGTTCTCTCATTTGTTATGTGCCGTTCCTGTTCCTTACACTTTTTGAACATCAGGCTAAAGAAAAGGACAGATAGATTACACACATATTATATGTCAAAGCAAAGCAAAAAGATGGAAAAGTGTACAACAGGGTGTCTTTACTAGCAGCCATAATATATCCAGGCAACGTTTTAACTGTGTCCAATCGGCGTTGCATGTTGTCGATGATATCCATTGCGTAAGCAATATCAATCTCCGCATTCACTTCATCAGGAGCAGTTTGAGGGCCTGTTGTTGTGGAGGGCGTGTGTTCTTGTGTTAAACTAAGAAAGTGTAAATTATTTAATCAAAGTACTTGGTTACGGATGTTCTTGCTATTCACTCTTCACTAGTAGTTGTACGAACATCATACATAGAACTACGCTAGAAGTACACTAGCATGATATCCTACGAAATACCCGATCCACCACCCGTTGTCGCAGTACCATCGCTGGTACCAGTTGCAGCATCGTCATCGAGGATTGGTTGCCCGTTTTCGTCAACCTTTGATTTACTCGCATCTCGAAAAGCGGATCGACTATACGTTTTTGCTGCACTCTTCGTTGCCTCCGCGACTTTGGCGCGTGCATATTCCAGCTGCTCTTACACGTTAGAGTCGTGCATTCATATGTCTCTGAAAGAACGCTTTGAGGGAGCTTCATTCTAACCTACGTCCTGAAAATGACAAACCAAAACGAGTCATAATCAAAATCCTTATCTCCTCTTGCAAGCCATCAATGATGACGTTCTTTCCAGCGATTCCTTCAGCTTCTTCTCGGCTTTTTTTAACGCCAGTCAGTCACTACTATCTGTGGCTGAGTGGTTTCCCCTTCCTTCCCGAAAAAACCCCTCGACTTCTCAGGACACGAGAACGACACTCAGGACACCTCACACCAGATAGTCGTGATACTGACTGACTAGCCGTAATTTTGCCGCTTGCCTCGTTAAATTTGGCCCACAACTCTGTGGTATCGTGATTGTACCTCAAAGCTTCCTTCCGCAATTCAAGCTGCAGACGCGCATTATCCTCCTTGAAAAACTCCAGATCTTTGCCCATGGAATCCGAGAAATGAAGGTGGGGAGGGACGACGACGATAGAAACAGGGAGAGAACAAAGTAACAGCATGATGAACATTTGAAGTGTCGCAACATCAAAACCGACGACCTAGGCAAGACAGCTACCGATCTAGTCTAATGAATTATCTCGAAGAAATAAAGTAGTGCAACCGCATTAATGCGCTCCCTTGTTCAACATCGAGGAAGCCTCTACAATCGCCTACTTGATCACTGAAACATCTAGCAAGCGATAGACAGTCAAACATCTATCCAAAGAGCATAATTTGCAGCCGCCATTTTCTTGCGTAGTTCTCGTTCATGGCCATGCTCTTGTCGGTATTCACCGAGCTCTCCTTCTGACGCGGCCAGACGGTTCTCGAGTTCTGCAATGCGGCCCTTGAGCATACGCGTCTGGCCTGTGCTTGCAGAAGCGTCAGCGGCATGCTTGTGCGTCTCTAGACCCAGCTGGGCTCGAAGCCCGAGCATCACTTCGGTTAGGTTGGCTACCTGTAGTTTTGTTAGGATATGATGGTGGACTGCCAATTTATTTCTATCTTTTGGGCAACCAACAAACGACAAGACCAATCACAATCTCAAACAAACCCTCAAACTGTACACAAATCATTGAATATACCTGTTCTCTCGCAAACCGCAGTTCTTTTTCGTATTGTTCCTGCCTTTGTTTGTCCCGTTTCTCCAAAGCCACCGTTTCATAGATGATAGATTGCGCCATAGGATTGCCGTGCTCAAGGATTCTGTTCACAGTCTCCTGCAACTCCTTTTCAGTCTCCGACTTCTCAGCACTACCAGATTCGGGGGTTCCTGGTGTGGTGTGTAGTAGGAGTACTTTCGATATCGAGGTTTAAGTGCGTTTTCCTGGGGAGTTCTAGTGAGTGGTGTCACGGTTAACTCCATTTAAAATCATCAGGCTCACATAATTGTAGAACTCACGACAATTAAATAGACTGCATGCCAACAACCGAAAATTACCACTCTGCGCGCCTTCAGGCACGAATTTCGCAGGATTGCTATTCAACACTTCTTGCACCTGGCGTCGCATGTCAGTGACATTGTTACGTGCGTGGGCCAACTCGGTGGTCATAGCCTCCAACTCCTGAGCCGCACGTATGATTAGAGGCGTGGTAGCCTTTAGCCTTACCACGTACAAATGAATCCAAGAAGTCAATAATGTCGAACACACATATTCAAGGAAGCAAGTCGTGGATGTCATCGTTAATTACATTCCTTATACCACTGCCTTAACAAAGCATCCAATCGAAACTGCTGCTCCCTTTCCATAGCAGCAAGTTTCATGCTATCTACGTCATCATCTTTTTTCTTCACTGCACGCTGAAGTTCCGTCAAAGTCGCTGACATCTCGCCAATCTTCTCCTTTGCGGCAGCGGCATCAGCCTCAGCCATACCTGCTCTCCGCTGAAAAGATACTGCTTGAGCCTCGTAAAAAGTGCGCTGCTGAGCCATTTGCGCAGAGAGCTCGGTGACGCGCGTAGTGGAGCCCTTGGTAACTTTTTCGAGGTCGGCGCGGTCACCTTGTTTTGGTACGGAGATGAGAAATCAACGTATGATGATGAATTTTGCAGATCCAATGCGTTACTTTTATCAACATTGAACATAAGTATCTTCCAAAAGACGAATAGAGCTAAGACACCTTCCAAGTGGGTCCATTCTAAGAGGAACTGCGATATTCTAAAACTCATACGTGTCGCTTCTTCCACTTTCCTCTTCCGCAACTCTAACTCAGCCGCCTTTTCTTGGTGCAATTTCACTAGGTCCGCTTCCTCCTGCTGCAGTTTTTCCCGCAAGTGTTCCACTTCATTGCGCATCTGTACTCCATTCTTCTGACTTTCATGTAGTTGTTTCTGATATTGTTCAGCCGTTGCTTTTGCGGACTCAGCTTCCTTACGTGCTTTCCATAATTCAGCTTGTAGCTTTCCGGAGGCGGCGGCATTACTACCTTCTCTAGTACTGCGCACTGTGACACCATGAGTGCTTTCAAGGAGACTCAAATCGGTTGTAGGTGCAGAGGACGACAAACCAGATTGTGAGTGAGGAGATTGATGATCATGTTGATTCTGTTGTTGTTTTGTTACAGATGCGCTTGATGAAGATGTTGGTGTCACGCCGTGACCTGGGGCCGCAGCGGCAGTAGCACTAGAGGACGAGTCAGCAGTTTTTCGAGCAGCAACACTAGCTGATCTACTTTTAGTTGTGTATCCTCCAGCTGCCGCCACATCATCTGTACTCACCAAATCCACTACTTGCGATCCCGCCAACACAGCCGGCAACTCGATGTGCTTACTCAGTGCATGTTCTTCGCGTCGTGCGCGCTCGCGATCGCGCTCGTTCTCGGCAGAATGCAATTCGCCTAACGTGCCTCGTAGTGCTTGTTCCAGTTGTGCGATTCGTGCTGCTTGTGCCGCTTTCTCCTGGTCAGCAGCTTGCACCTTGGAGGCCAAAGCAGTTTGCCCAACTTCTAGATGTGTAACGCGCTCTTTTTCCTTCTCCAATTGTTGAGCTCGTCGTGCAGCCTCGGCATCCTTCTGAGCGCGTTCGGCCTCGAGCTGCGAGAGCTCACTGGATTGTAGGGCGTCGGAACGCTCTTTTTGGTATGAAAAGAGAGATACTTCTAAGACAAACACAGGTACAACAATGTTGATGTTGTTCATCACATGACGAGATCAATCATTCTCGTTTTCGAAGATTTTTCACACCAAAACGAGATGTGTTCGTTCCCCTACTTTGATTGCTTATAAGAAACAAAAGTAAAAAAACGGGAACTAATTCCATCTCCATAAATCCGCCTTCAACCGCGACACTTCCCCAGCTAGAGCTGCCGCTGCATCATGCGCTTTTCCTTCGGTAGAGTAAGAATGCTGTTTCATCCTTTCCAGCTCTCTTCTGAGTTTCTGATCTTGGGCCGTTACCTCATCTAGAGCCGCAGCAGCTGCTTTCTCGGCTTTTTGGTGTAGGACTTCCTGCGACCTGAGTTTTGCGTTTTCGCTCTGCAGTTCGACTAGTTTCTTGCCCAGAAGACGCATGGGGAATGAAAGGGAAGATAAACGAGGTGGGGGATTTCAACAATTCACTGGCACTGACTCCATGAAAACACTCTACTTATACTGATGTTTTTATGCGGCATGAAAGCTTGAACTACTTCCGAGAACATTTATTGACGAACAAAATGACGTCTCATTATAAGTACTTCTATAGAAAAATAACAACCTCCGTACTATGCCATAACATGGTGGCTTGTTGTTCTTGACCTGCTGTCATCGTGGCTCTTGAGGTCATGCTAGCCTGAAGCTGCATGAAAGATCCCGCACCATTGTTTCCATGCTGGCCTGTGGCGGCATCTTGCTCGCCATCCTCTCCATCCCATTGAGGATGTGGCGCTGGTGGCGGCGCTGGCGCTTCACTGGAGGTAGACGATGCATCTTCTTGTACTTTGACGTACTTGTAGTTAGAGCTACCGCGCTCGCATCCCCGAGAACCTCCCTGGTCCCTTTTTCTCCTTGAAAAATGGGCCAAGGATGATGTTGAGGATGGTCCAGCGGTAGCCTTAATGTAGTTGTTATCCTCCTCGGAACTACCTTGTTCTGTAGTATACTCATTCTCGAGTAGAAGCATATTGTTGTCTGCTACATGCTGTGAGGATGAGGATACGGCGTCTTGTTCCACCTTCAAACCAGCGTGTCGTAGTACAGCATCGACGCCATTCACAACGCGATCTTCTTCTTGCTTCGTCAGTTGGGTGTCTTCTTGTTGGAAGTCGATGTCGTCATATCCTAAGGAACTACCGCCACGAGAGGAAGGCTCATCGGAAAAATCTTCTTGGTCTACTTCATCAGGAGATAGAGAATCACCATAGCTTTGTGCCTCTTGGCCTACTTCAGCGTAGCTTACTTCTTCCTCGTTGCCACTATCATCTGATGAGAGATCTTCAGCACCACGACTTGTAGTATCCAAAAACTCCTGTTCCACCAGTGACATTCCAATCTTGTCCTTCATCTGTTTCTTGTCCTCGGCATCCTGTTTCAGCAGTTTCTTCAGATCTACTTGGGGACTACTCGCATAGGCGTTGCCTTTGTTGTTACTCTTGTTCCCACCTGAAGCCATTTTCACCGCAGCACCACCATCTTTTCCTGCTTGTCCTGCAAGAAACACATACGGATCACCGACGCCCGCATCTCCCGGTGGTCCTGGTGCTCGCGCGATGTTCTTCTCGGAATGGAGTAGAATCTTGAGGATTTCGATTTCCTGTGCCATCGCCTTTGCGACGATGTCTCGCTTCGTCAGAGTGCGATCCAGACGCATTCTCAGCGCTGGCGCGATGATCAAGTGCCCCGCACTGGTGAGACCCAAGCCCAATTTGTACAAGCGGACAGCAATGCGAGTGGTGCAATCCGTCTTGGCCTTCTCCATCGCTTGGAAGGGAAGTTAGACCAGCAAAAGGGGAGAATGCATTTTTAGGAAAGAAGAGGTTTCAGAGAACTTCCAGATTCAGTACAACAAGAGGAAGACGGTAATAAAATTGTACACCTCTAGCTCTAGCAGGTGTAGAAGAAGGTCTACTAAAAATATGGTCTACAGAAAATTCTTTGTGTTTCATAATGTTCCATCCTTGCATCGTCCAATTCCGTGGCCTTCGCCATCCCAGCACTCAGAGGTCCGTAGATCGTGTGTTGAATATCCGTCTTCTTGACTAAGAACTTCTTTTCCAGCAAGACTTGCTCTGGAAATTAGAGGAAGGGTCCTCTTCTTGTACATTTTTCGACAAAGAAGTGCATTTTTCGAAGTATAATCTCGATGTTCTTGGCTGACATGATTTCCAATTTGGGTGGAAAATGCAACAAAATGGTCACTCGTCGTGGTCCATGCATCACGTTCTTACGTCAGGCCATAATCATCCAATCTGCTAAGCTCATCTGCGATCGCGATTCGACCATCTTCAAACAGTTTGTTGAGTTCAGGGGTCATGTGTGGCATGGATTTCGCCCACTCCATCGCGACTTCTGGGTTCCAGTCTCTGTGCCAACCACGTTCTGCTAATGTGAACGAAGAGGACGTGTGACGGTCCTGGTCGTGTGAACGAGCTGAACTACTAGAGGTAGTTGCAGTAGTAGATTGCTTCTTGTTCTTATTACTGTTGTCAGAAAGTAAATCTGCGTCATCCTGATCTTCATCTCCAGTTGGCTTGGAAAGTGCGGCTTTGTCGAGTTTCTTGGCCTTGAATTGGGGATCATTGTGGTCGAAATCGGCCAAACCATGGTATTCGTGAGACGACGACCAGGCCATCTCGTAGCGCTTGCCTGTTTTACTCACTCGCGTTGTTGTGACGTCGTCACGAGCACCCTCAGTGTAGCTACTCTCATCGTTATCCTGATGCACGTTGGACCGGTGTCGGGACATCAGAGAACCTGAGGACGAGGAGGAGGAAGAGGAGGAGTCTCCTTCCTGATCCTCTTCGCCTTCGCCTTTGTGTTTGAGCACAGCGGTGACTTTTCCCTCCGCCGCAGCAGCACCAGCTTCGCCGCGCCAAGCATTACTCCGACGGATCAAAGTGCCGATAGCTTTCAAAATCTTAGAGGATGAGTTTGATCCTGATGAAGCACCCAGCAAGGAGTAATCGTCATCATGAACTAGTCCTATTATTAATACACTGAAAACATTAACATCGTCATACAGGTTTCGAGTTGTATACAGAAAAAAGCATTTGCTTATCTACGAAGATTACACTCGTAACACTAGTCTCGTCGTCACTGGCGCCAGGTCCTCTCTGTGCGTCCATTGCTAGCTGACGCAACCAACGTAGATACTCCACTTTTTCTTCCCGACTGCGAAAGTTCCCCTCTCCTCGCATTACAGCACGCTTTCTAGCAATAACCTCCTCCAGCACAAACTGACTTTGATCCTCCGCAGTGCATTCTCGATCGGCCTCTTGTTCGGACGAGGAATCTTCTTCACCTCTTAGATTGATGAAGGGATTGATGAAGCGTTCATCTGATGAGTTCTTGTAATCTTCATCCATGTTGTTCATTCTTCAACCAATTAGACTAAAAGTGAAATCTCGTCTCTTGGAAGACAATGTCAAAGTCAAACAAGATCATGTTGATGAGATGTTAAAACCAAAAAAGGCGACCAAGCACACAGCTTAACTCCAAAAACTGTCCCTGCTCTTCCTGGTCGGCGTCTTTCCTGAATTGCTCCACTAGTGCCACTCCCGGTGCATTACATGTGGAGCTGCACTGTTTTGAAACGTCAGCTGACTTCCCAAACGCCGACAGCATTTGCATACGATAAGGCAGCACTGCACAAGTTCTGGAGGATTCAAAACGACCACTCCTACTACCGTGACCCGCCTTCGATCGCACTTGCACAAAGCTATTCACGTCCTGAGGTCTCTCCTCGTACAGTGGGGAGAAGTTGTTTTTTGGTCCGCCAATGTGTCGCTTGCCAACGTGTCGCTTCTCGTTTTCAGTAGTACCAGCATCAGTAGACTTTTTAGTATTACCACCTATTACTGAAGATGAAGATCTAGTACTCGATGAAGACTTAGTATTGCGGAAAAAAACTGTATCGAGAAATCGTTGCCACAAAGACCTAGGAGGTTGTTCCAACTGAGAGCCACTACTTCTCCTAGTGTAAGGTTCAACCTTGGTTCTTCGAACTTGGACTTTGTCTTCATCATCTTCTAGGTTTTTCCTACTAGAAGCAGGACTAGAGGAACTAGACTTCCTAGTAGAACTAGGAGTCTCTTCGCTCGAAGTTTGATGTTGTTCTACTAGCTCCACACGTTGATGCTCCTGACTGCTGGTGGTAGAAGATTTGTCAACCACATCTTCTTCCTCTGGTTCGTGACGATGCCGCTTCTGTGCTGTGTGTTCGTCAGATGTAGCTATGTGCGTGTGCTCCTTCTGCGCTACTGACACCTTTGGTCGAGAAGAAGATGAGCTATAATCATCCTTGATAGAAGCTCTATTGGAGACACCAGACGACCCACCACCTCTTCTGCCAAGAACTTCTTTTCGAGCAGAAATTTCCTTTTCATTTCTTGCTGCCGCTTTCTCGAAGTCTCCAGCTTGTTCCAAAGCTTCTTCAAAATCGCCACTAAGAACGGGGTCATCTTTACGTTGACCAACATTGTTCTTTAATACGGATTGTTCTTCTACAGCACCTGCTGGTGCTTTTGCACTATTTTTCGTTCCTATCTCTTTCTGGCTAATATCTTCTATATTTCTTGAAGAAGATACGGCTGAAGAGGAGGATGCACTTGTCTTCCTTGTTTGCTCTTGAGGATTGCGCTCCTTGCTACCATGAATCGGAACACCGTCCTGCTTCTTTTGTTCAGTCCTTTCGGCTTTTTCATCTTGCGCACGCTTATCTGGTTCACTGCTACCACTACTACTGCTTGTTCTTCTAGCTTGTTTCTCGTCTCGTAGTTGTTGGTGTTGCTGCCCTGACGATGACGTCGCACCCGTTCCTTCGTCTGTCGAAACACGACGCGAGCCCGACTCTGCTAACGAGAGTGAGCTTGCGGACGCAGTGCTCAACGCGAGGCAACCAACTAGGCCCCTCCTTCGTCGGCCTAACATCTTCAAACCTTCCTTTCGGTCGTCCTTGTTGTTCTGCAAGTCTACTAGTACAGGCCTCCACGCTGCGTCGAGGCGTAGGTGGTTGTTGGCCTAATTCCACCACCGGCCATAGCGAGAATCCAACTTGGTTGTTTGCTGCCAGTAGCTATTTGTTGATGTATTCAGACTTACTTGTACGTACAAGTATTAGTATTCTGGAATCCAAATCTTACGTCGTGTTTGTGTCTTTATCCGGCATAGATGAATGATTTACTACTACTTCTTTCGACTACTTAGTTACACCGCAAGCAATCTTCTAATAGGCAAATTTACAGACATCTTTGTATTAACTGAGAAATGAACAGTCTTTTTCATGTTTTTTCATCTAATATTTTACAGCTGGTTTTCTTGCTTCAACTCCTTTTTTCATCTCCAATGATACCGATATACGTCCTTTCGCATATAATATTTTTTTGCTCTCTTTGCGTCGTTTTACGTGCACTCAGCACACTTCCCTATCGTCCTGCACTCAAAATATTTTTACACTGGTGAATTAGTACACTTCCTGCTTACTTTTGGGACCGATGCAACAGCGCCGCGGCATATAGCCTTGCCTCATCACTGCTTACCTCGCCAAGAAGTTGACAAGATTTTTCATGACATTGGGTTCCTGCACCAGAAGGATTCGGGTTAAAGGAGCACATTGTTCACTACATGCTGGAGCATCTGTTCAGGTGATGAACGTTCATACTTACGTTACCAGTGGGAGGTCGTTCAACACAGATCCACTGTACACAAGATCAGCTATATTCTCAAAATGACAGAATGGCTATATTTATCTCAGAGTGACTGGATAAAGTAAGAGTAGTCTGGATAAATCTTTGATATGCGACACTTACTTACAGGAGCAGCACGTGCATGCACAGGTTTTTCTTTTATTGCAGAGGTTACGTTTGTTCAACGTGAGCTTTAATGCAACACGAATAACAAATCATACGACGTACATCAGCATCTATAACTCAATGGTTTTGGTTTTCGTTCATTCATTTCGAAAGTAGGCGTGTCACGCCATCACTCATCAGGCGTATGACGTGGCTGTATGGTATTTCGAAAGTAGGCGTGTCACGCCATCACTCATCAGGCGTATGACGTGGCTGTATGGTTCCCATCCAATTCTGTACAGCTATCTCGCGTTTTAAATCCGCATCCTTCAGACACCTCCCTGCATTCAATTTCGAATTACTCCGATTTCGGCCTCTCAGACCTAGATCCTGGCTCTTGCGGCGCTCGCGTCGGCCTCTACCTTCGAGTACGGCAGCATTACTCTTGGCCGCAAGCAATGATGAGCCAGCATAGTGCGACTGTGCCTTTTCAGCGCGGGAGCACTTGGTCGTTCCCGGCTGTTGATTAATTTTATAGTCGGAGGTGTGAAAGTTTCATATAGTAGTTTGTTGGGTAAATAGTCAACTACTCTCTCATCAATGAATCATGTGGTCAACATTCATTGCACATTTTCTACGAAAATCACAATTTCATCAAAAAGCGGAACAAGGCACAATCGGAAACCGCAGTACGTCTTCTCGCATTTCCTCAGGTTTAAGGCGCATCCGTATCCTTGGCTTTTCTTCTACATTTTTTTCGGTGCTGCTTCTCAGATCCCTTATTGCTGCTTTGTCCTTACGAAGATTCGCGCCATGTTGACTATCACCTATTATCGGTGGCAAATTCGCAAACTGAGCGTCTATATCCGCTAGTCCCACTAGATCCATGCTGGACGGCCTATTCCTCGACGTCGACGAAAGTGGCCGTCTGCCCTTCTTTTTCCCCTCCAGTAGCAGTTCGGCTTTTTGCTGCAAAGCAGCATCTAATTTTGCATCTACATTCGAACGGCTGGCACTACAAGAAGTGGACGACGAAGATGTTCCGATGACTGCCTGCATTCCTCGTGTTGAAACATCGCGCCGTGCGTTTGATGACACTGCTAGCAAGTCGCTTTTGCCTACACGAAACTTTGTGTCCTTGTCGTTGTCTTCCCCTGATCCAGGAGAAGTGACACTATCTGCAGCATCCGCTCTTGGATCCCTTGTTCCTGTACAATTTGTAGTACTCTTATTTTTCGAACTACTACTACTGCTGCTGCCGCCTCCAGTTGCCGACTTGCCTCCAGTCAGCTCGTCGAGGAAGCCCCTTGCTTCTCGTTCCATACTGTCTTGCTGAAAAACGGGTAAATTGTCAATGGCCGATCGTAACTGAGTTGATGTCAGGCTGGAACTTGACACACTACTGCCACCGTAGTCATTAGCTGAAACAGCACTACCATGCTCCCGTTTTTGCTTCGCCAACTTGAGACGCTCCCGGCGATACCTGCAGGGGTGTTGTGTGAGACTTAAAAAGCTTGTTTGGCTTCAAGGAGAGTCATCGACATCTCTTCTTTTTAATACTCGTTTGTCACACTAGCATCGTCCTGGATGAATCTAAACCACGAAATGTCTTCCAAAAGACCACGACAAAACAATAGCTAAGAAAATCTGGTACCTCTCAGTAAGATATGCCATAACGCTAGCGCTGGGTCCGACGTCGCTCTCATCATCCTCTGGCAGCCATGAATATCGCACTCTCGATGCTTTAGGTTCGAACAAGGACCTGTACTAGTAAACATAATCCCACATGTGACGTGACTACATATCATAATAGGATGATGCAGCTGACCTGTAGTAAAAAACATAATCACACGCGAAAAATACTTCGGTGGCTTCAATTGTGACGATAACGTTGAGGCGGACTTTTTAATTTTATGCAAGCCACGATCGAGTGCTTCTTCCCAGCTCACGAGAGCGCGCTCGCGCTCCTTCTCGCTTAATACGGACGGCATTTTGTGCTTTTAATCCTCGTTCTTGAATTTAGATTATACTTACTTAAAGAAGTACTTTGTTTGGAGGGATAGATCTAGCTCATGAGGTCTTGAATTTTGTTTTAAGTACTTAGTTTATAATAAACTACTTATGTTGTAGTTGATGATGTTCTCAACCTAGTTCCAGGAGCACTCTTTCACCTAGTAATGTATCTTTCTTTTCTCTACTTACAACTTGAACTTCAACTTCTTTTTCTTCTAGTATAAAATAATGACCACAGTCAGTATTCACGTGGCTTCTGTTCTATCCTGCGTTTGGAATGAAACTTTCACCATGGACGAGAAGGGAATGCGAACCACCCATCTTTGCCTCGCTTCAGGAAAGTCTTTCCACGTACCTTAATCATGCTCTCGAGAAAACAAGTAAGCTCGATTATCTCTCGAAAGCAAATCGACGAACTATTAGTTCAGCACTACGATTTTGTTCCTTCGATCGTACTCCTCGTCATGCCGGTGCTCGCAGTCGCATCCTCAAGGTTCAACAATAATACAGGCAACAGAATGAGTATGAGGCAGATTATAATATCATTATCTTTGAATTCATGCGAAAGCGAATCAAAGGCGCATCTTTTTATGTCGTCATGTGAAATCAAAATCAAAATCTCACATCTCAATCAATGCGATCCAGTATGTTCTCGGGAAGCGGTTGCGTACCTGCGAAAAACGCAACGAGTTGCTTTCATAAGATACTTGCGAAAAACACGATTCTGCGACACAAAAACAAATCAATACGGAAGTATAAAAACCCATATCAGGAGACTCCACGACCACCTCCCTCTAGCAACTAAAGTGCCGTCTGATTCTCCACAAGCTTGCGATGCTGGGAGGGTTGATACCAACGAGCCAGTCTACGAATGCTGTAGACAGGGAACCAAGACAGCAGTATAATGACCAAAATGAGTCCGAAGAACTCGAACCTCATAATGAACTGGATGCGAAAAAACTGCGGTGTACTCACCATGGTGAAGAGTACGAGCAAGATCGATACGAGTTCGCCGAAGATTAGAGGTAAGTATGTTTGAGGAGAATCTTCTTATGGGAAAAAGAATAGCTGTAGTGCGCTCATCTGTGATAAAGCTGCTAGGTTCTTGTAGTCAGAATTTATATACGTTTTCATGATGCTCTTCAGAGCAAGCAGTAATCCGTATACCGTTTCATGATGCTCTTTAGAGTAACAAGTACTCCATGAACGTAAAAGTGAGAGATTCTAAATTTAATGCGTAGCCATAAGATCAAGATCAAAGGATGCCACGTTGACACTTCGACTGCCACGAAGACGCACTCGAGAAGGAAGCACGACGTAAAAACGATCGCCAAAAGGTTCACTAGCTGCTGCTCAAAAAATTTGAGTGCGAGAACCGTTATCGCCGAAGCATTGAAGAGGGCCGCAGCAACCCACAGGAGGAAAATCTTCACAGACATACCTGGTCAGAAGAGAAGAGATAAGGGCGGCCATGGTCATGCATCATCTCACGTGTGTCTCACCCCCCTGGCCAAGGGTGGGCGCTTGGTTGCTATACTAGTCATTGAGAAAACAGAATTCGGCAACTCAGTCATATACATAGGGGCCGGCAACGCTACGCACGAGGCGCGTGTGGCGCAACGTTTTTGCAGATGAAGAAGAAAGCAGAAGACCGCAAGCCACCCCCAAAGAATGAAAGCCAGCGGGGAAGACGAAAAGAAAATGGCCAACCCAGGCAAGAAGACTGCGAGCCCACAGATATAAACCACAGACAAAGAAACAGAGCAGCGACGGCTGGAAGAGCAGCGCGATACCCGGGAGGCTGTTTGCCAAACCGCTCCAGGCAAGCGCCAGAGCCTGCCTCTCCGCTGGTAAGATGGGAATAGCAGAGGGGACGCCCTTCACCGCCCACGGCGTTGCCAATCGCGCGGGCGCGGTCCTGTCTTTCTTAAATAAATTGCCAGGAATACGCATCAGGTACCGAGCCAGTCACCGCTTTGCCACGCGATACGCATCCTCCCCGCGGGCATTTCTGGCCGTGCTCATCGGCTGCAAGACTTCCCAGCAACGGCACTGCCGCGCCCTCCCTGCCGCGTTGGTTCAGGCAGCCGGCGCCCCTTCCTTGCTAGCGCGCCTCGTGGGTCGCGTTGATTGATGGCGTCAAGCGATTGCCACCAGGCAGCCTGAACCGTTAAACTAGAGATAAAGAAAAGGGTAATCAAGGGATAAAGTGAAGCAGCTGCCACTTCCCTCGAACGTCCTTTTCCTTCTCTAGTTCCCCACCCACAACATCACATCACTTTCCCCCTTAAGAATATTCTTCATCTCCTTACCATCTGCACAAGCCTGCAGCCAATCTTTCAACTTCTCCAGACAAGACACCAGGAACCGAGAGGAAGAACCGAAAGCCGATAGCGATGTCTGTTACACCGAGGACCGACACAGACGAAGAGTTTGCTTCCCCCTCAACCGAACCGGCCACAATCTCAATCTCGAACAACTCACATCGCACGACTCTCAAACTGTTGCCGGACATGTTCATCTTTTTCTCCCACTCCAATGCTGCGCAATTTGTATCTACAAGTTCTTCATCTCTTTCCCTGTTTTTCAGTGTTGTGATTCGTATGAGCATGTTGATCTTTATACTCAGATAAATTCATAGTACTAGGAAGAGACACGAATTAGTAGATATTTCAATATATAAGAATCATCTTAATGCTTCTATATCATCAAGTTCAAACGTTGGGCCCATACCAGTACCAAGAGGACTAGCACTAGCACAACGAATGATCCAGGAGGAAAAACTCAGACAAATTGCCAACCGAACGAATTCGGTCAGCGGTAGGTGTGGTGCCTCCATCCCGAGGACTTTCATTCTCTAAAACTACTCGGTTCTTTCAGTTGGTTAGTTCGAAACAAATGAAAGTGCACCAGCTTCGTCCGGAGACAATGAAGATGCACCTTCGTATAATATGGAGAGATATCCATACAATTCCCATAGGCATGATAGTGATTACTTCACTCGACGAAAGACATCAGGATAGTACTCAAGTCTTCATATATAGGTCATTTACTCCACTACATGTTATCTACTTCGTTAGATTCTCACGCAGAAATACTTAGATATGAACTAGTACTAATCCAACTACAACAGAAATGATGACGAACTTATTTACTTTATCCTAGAAATTATTTCCCAACTCTATATGATTCAAATCCCCCGTGCAAAACGTTACAACTTCCAAGATAAATCATGCATGTCCTCCTATCGGTCAGAAGGCTCTAAGAATCGTCATGATTCTGCTCGACGTCAAACGCCGACTGCAGCAATACTTTCACACCTCCTTTCTCCTCCAACTGCTTAGCTGTCATCCTCCTCTTCGTGCGCGGCTTCCGCGCGGAACTTCTTGTGCTTCAAGGTCTTCAGCTGCATGGCATCCGCCTCGGACAAGACAAATTCGATGCCTTGGAGATAGTCCATCAACTGGGCCGCCATATTGCTCGCTGTAAGGAGTAGATGTTTGAGGTTGATAGAGGAGCTCGATGCTGTAGAACTTCCGGAAGCAGGAGTAGCATCTAAATTTTCTAAACTTCTAAAGAATCTAAAACAGACAGAGCCTATAGGTAGAAGCATAGGAAAGTAAAGAATCATAGTACTGGGATCTTTGTCCACTGCTGCCTTGATCTTGGGCAGCATCTTGTTCGCCTGCTCGACTGTGATGCCCTTCTTCTCCACTTGCTTCTTCATGAAAACCTTCACCGTGTCCGGCTCTTCACGATGGACCCACAGCGGGCGGTAGGTCTCGAACATCAAGGCCTGGCCCTTCGCCAACTCCAAGATAAAGACACGATCTCCATGCATCCCAACGACCATGAAAGGCCCACTGAAACGCTGCCAAGTCCTCCACCTCACCGTTGACCAACTTCGCCAACGCCTCTTTTTGCTCGTTGTCCTTGTCGTTGCAAATGCCAGCCATCTCCTGCACATCGCAGGACAACTCGGAGGCTGTGCAATTCTTGATCATGAAGTCGCGGCAGTTGAAACTGATGGGGAAGGAAAAGAAAACACACGAAAACGTTGAAGAGGAAGCTTAAGGTAGAAAAATGCGAAGTCCTAGGATAGAAATCGTCACGATTTTGTTATATAGAAAGCATGAATTTCCTGTACAGTTAAAGCGTGAAACTGATGCACTCAAGTACTTCTCTCCTGAAACATGAAAAGACGCTACAACATCACATGAACAACTATTCACATGGTAGTACATCGCCCGTCCTGCCTCCATGGCGCGAGCCATCTTCTCGTAGGTCTCAGCACGCATATCCACGTAAGCGCTGAGAGTGGGGACTTTCGCACGGACTGGCTCGATTGTGGAAGGCTCGATCACATTCTTGCCCAGCACAGCCTTGCAACACTCTTCCGCGGAGGGAGTGAGTTTCTGCTGCGTAGCAATCGTACCAAAAACACGCCAGGAACGATCTTGATTCGAAGCGCCACCACGCTGCAGCTTGAGGGCGCGTTCGAGCTTCGCCTCATCGCGTTGTCCGACCAGAATAGCAAAATACTCCCCCAGTGCCTGTGTGGGGAATTTGGTATACCGATAGGAAAATACTAATGAGAATCTTCATACAAAAATAGTAGAGTTTTCCAATTTGCTTTTTAGGTTTTTGGCGGATTCTTTGCGTATGGTTTCCAGTAGAACAATTCTTGCATCTTGTTACGAGAGTAGAACTATACTAAAGTCTTTCAGTTCATAAGAGGCCAAAGTAGTTTGAAGCAAATTTCTAGACTATTTGTACCGCCTCCGTAGCGCGCTCCCACTCAGCATCATCAAGGATGCGACGCAGCTTTTGCGTATGGTAGTCGAACAAAGCGATCTCAGCGGAAGCCAGAACACGACGCATATCCTCCAACTCACGGAACGTCAAACGGCGGGACAGCACTTCGGCAACATCGACAGCCGGCTGCTGAGGAGGTCCCTCAGGCTCACTGGGGTCATCAGCTGGCGGAGCAACTTGGGTCTCTTCAAACTCGAAGTTAGAGGGGTTACCGAGGCCCATTGGTCCACCTTCATCGTCCGACTCTTGCAACTCGACAGCCGAGCCGCCAATTTCTCCGAGCTTCACCACAACAGTTGCCGCTTCGCAAAGTTTGGGCGCCGTGGTCTCGAAGATGTGCTTGTTCCTGCAGAAACGAAAAGAGAAAACTGGTACTAGAAGATGATAAGACAAAGACTCGAGTGTGAAAGTCCATGCATTTTTGCCACTAGATCAAAGGACTTGATATGTATCCCCACCAGTACGGACATGGTATCATCTACCAGAATCAAAGATAAGTCAATACTTGTCGAAGAATTCCATCGCCTTGCTGTTCGAAGATTTCGCGCGACGGTACAAAGAGTTGTTCACCCAAGTCGCCAGCTGGTCGTATGGCTCGGACAAATCTGGCGAGATGGTGGGTGATTCATGATAAATGAAGAAGGTGTGAAGGTAAGACTTTCGTTGTAGTTTTCTTATGGGTTTTGATGTGCTGCTATAGTAATTGATCTCGTTGGCTCGAAAGTATAAAAATGCAAACAGGTTGCAATCTAAATTTTCTAAACTTTCTATATGTGTTGCCTCTTCTTCAATAAGATAAAAACTGCCCACTTATTCCCAAGAAAATACATAACTTGCTAGTATATGAAAGAATTGTAATAATCATAAATATATACCTTCCGCACGCAGGATTCCCATCTCAATGTTTCCTGCACTGACAGCTTCCGCCACATTCGTCAGCTGCATGTTGTCCGGATTCTTGTTGCGCAGAATCTTCATGCACTCGTTGGACTCGGCGATGTTGAGGGGCCAACGCATCTCATCCGGAGTCTTCTCCTCTGCAAAGGTCGAACGACCAAGCTTCCACTCCTTCTTCTCAGCGGCTTCCTCCTTGAGCTTGCCCTCAAAAGCTGCAACATCCATGTCCAGCAGGTCCGCAATGTTGAGAGCAGCAGCAGGCGCAATCCTGGACGTAGTAGTGTCTGTGCCAGAACCTGCTTCAGCAGCAGACGATGTGCCCTCAGCTGCGTCTCCACGAGCACCTCCAAGAGACAGCTGAGGCGACTCACCACCCAACGAAGAACTCGGAGAAAAGCCAGATGGACTACTTGCGCCACCAAGTCCGGTTTTGCATGCGCTGATGCGAACAGAACCATCAGCATCAAACTCGTCTGCCGGTCGGTCCAGGAATCCGTACAACGACACCGACGAACCGTGGGAGTACAACCACTCACAGATGGACTTCGCTTTCGGTAGAGCACCTTCACGTTTCTGGATGCGTTTCTTCAAAGACTTGCGAGTCTTCTGGCCAAGTTGTTCAGCACGGTGCGCGTCGAGCGAATCCTTGATGTGATTCCACTTCTCAGTGGGAATCCACAAGGACTTCAAATCGCGCAAACCAGCGGCATCACGCTCCTGCAAGATGCGCTTCACCTCGTCGATGAGGAACTCGATGGCATTCTTGAAGACCGACCCAGCGAGGGTAACATCGTTAATCGGTTTGGTACCAAAGGCCTCCAGCCCAACCAAGAACGTTGCCATTCCGAAGCCCCAGCTCTCCGACTTCGACTTGTTGCGAAGCTTCTCCTTGCAGTAGGCGTACAACTCGTCGTGGGAGTGGTTCAACTGCGGAACAACCTTGCGAGAACGTTTCGCCGCTCCCGCGCCAACGCGAGCATCTGCACCCGGCGAATTCAAAGCAGCAATGCGTTTCTGTGAAGTGTTTTAGATGGATGATGATAGGAATCAAGCGAGGCGGCAGTTAGTAAGAAGGAGAGGCTGTCTTGGATAAGAGGTAAGGATCTTCATTTTCAAAGTTCTAAACATCTAAACCATAAAGTTGAAGATAGAACTGGGATCATTTGGGCAGAGGTTAAAGTAGTGGCTATTCTTGGCGGTTATTTGGATCAAACGCACACAATCTCAAACGGGTATTCGGGTGGATAAAGTGGATTGCTCAAACGGATAAATAGGTGGTTATTTGTAAAATGAACATCATCCCTCCCTCTTCTAAACCCTTGATTTTCAAATAGAAAATCAAAATAACCAAACTTTATCTCCTAAATACCCGCCAAGAATATCCTATAAATACCCGCCAGAATACCCACCAACTTTAACCATCTGAAACTGAAAAAAATCAGAAGGATTTTGGACCTAAATAACCTATCAAATAACCTCTAGTACCGTGGTCCCCATCTTGCGGTTGCGGTTGTTGGAGGTCGTGGTCGTGGAGGTCGTAGCTGCAGGCTTGGGCTCACCCTCTTCTTGAAGAAGATCATACTCTTGACCACCAAGGTCCATCACAGCATCGTCATCCTCGTCACCATTGGCAGACGCAGCTTCAGCGGCTCCAGCTGCACCCATTTTCTTCATCTTCATCTTCTTCTTAGTACCAGCCGCAGCAGCAGCAGCATTCATCTCAGCCTGCACCTGTTCAGCCGGAGTAGCAGTAGAAGACGTGGCGCCACCAGTCAGGCCGGCGCTGGCCTCCTCGCCAGCCAATGCAGCCATAGCAGCAGGATCGTTCACAGATGACATCGCGATGCTGTTGTGGATATAATTCAACCACAAAAGTCGTAGTAGTTTCTTGTAAAAGTGGTAGGGCTGCGTGTGCAACTCGAGGTGGAAGATTGCGACTACAGGGAGGAGTTTTTTAGAAGAGATGACTGTAAGATTCTGAACATGCCTTTTTTGACTAGCGGAGTCAATCTAAATTTTTCTAAATAATCAAACATATCACTTATTACATTTTTATCATTTCCTTTTTCATTTGTATCCTTATGGGGAAAAAACTACAACACTTTTAGCTCTCACTCTCTATCTCTCAACTCACTCGTCAAAAAAGCATCAGACAAGCAGCCGAGGACTCTCTCAAAGTTAAAAACTCTCTCACGGAAAAAAACAGAAACTCCAATCAGGCAACACAGATATGACCGCCAAGTTGTAAAAAAGTTAGATTCTTATATACCACCGGCAGAACGTTCAAGACCGTCTCTGTGTTCATGATTCTAGTAGTAATCCATCAAAGAAGCTCCACTGTCAAAACGATTGTTCACAATGTTCAGATTCTTTTCATAATAAGCATGACGGCTGTGATGATTCCAGTACTGCTTACGATCTTGCAGCATTTTCACCACACGATTGCGCATACGCAAATGCTCCTCTTCCCATTCTGCAGCGCAGGCCTTAGTGTACGGGGGAAGCTGCGGCTTGATCTTCTGATGAGTAGCTCCCCGGCTTAGCAATAACTTCCACGTTCGAACGCATAAAGCAACTGCCCTGCAGGTTTCCTGTAGTCTTCCATGGAGTTCTATCGCAAAGTCCTTCGATGAATGACGATCACCCAAGATGTTCAACGTTCGAAGTCGTTGCACTCCTGCAGAGTCTGATGCTGTCACCCTGATGACGTCCACAACTTGATTTTTGTTTTTCTTGGTCCACTTGCCACCCCGTGGCACTATTTCAAGCGGCTCAAAGTCGTAATCACCGAGAAACTCATCCAACAATCCATCTACTTCAGCATTGATACGAAACTGCTGCTGCTTCAGGTTTCTAGGTGGAGTGATCTCTACTGGCGGCCGAAAGACTGCAGGCACAACACGACGGGCAGCAGCAGCAGGCTGTTGTTCAGCGTTTCTCGCTCGCTGGGGAGCTGGACCTTCTCGCGGAGCGTTTGGTCTTCTCGGTGCTTGAGTCGTAGAAACCTTGATCAACTCGGCAGAAGAAGTTGAAGCCTTCAAACAAAAAAGATGTAGAGCTTCACTCATCACCACGAAGAACCCATCGTTTTTGACGGCTTTCGGCGGTACGAAGAAGTTGTGCCCATCTACTAAACTCGATAGTTCTTTTGCCACGATCGTCTTCATCAATCGGCACTTTCCGTTTTCTACTCCGTCCTCCACTATAGACAAACGCACTCCACCAAGACGCATCGGGCTTAGAAGCAAGTATGTGATCAAGTAAACTCGTAGAACAGCTTTCCCCGAAGGAGTTTTGCCAGGCACATGAATAAAAACACCACCAAGGACAGAAGACAGTCCATCCTTCTTCGCCCGACGGACTAATTCTGAAGCAGCCGGGGACATAGTCGGAGCAAGAAATGGAGGAAGGCGTCGCTTAGGTACTAAAGCAGGAACAGGCGCTGCAAGGTTTGCTTTTGACTGGTACAGCATAGTAGTATCATCTTCAAGGACTTTGGTTGATTTTGTTTCCGCGAAAAAGGCTCCTACTTCTTCATCCCGCAGCTGCTCGTCTGTATTGATTGTGTTGCTCAGCATGAACGTTGTTCGTTGTTTTTCCTCCCTCTGTGCCTTCTCAGCAACAATCGCCTCGGCCTTTCGCAGTCGGTCCTTCATCTTTTCTGCCAGCTCTTGTCGGTGTGCAAGTACATCAGCAGCCATTCTTGCTCGTACTTCATCTGTTTCATTCTGCCAGTCCTCACTCATCCAAGTTGTAACCTTGTCCTGCTGCTCTTCCATGCTTCCCACTACTCCTTTTGCCGAACGCTCTCGCATGTACATGGAAGTTGCTCGCACTCTGGACACTGCGTAGCGAATTTTTGCCATCTCCTCAGCGATTGAAACTGCATTGGCATCAGCATAAGGAGACGAGAAGACCTTAGCAGAACTAAGCGCACCAGGCTCGTCCAATCGATTCATTTGTCGATGAAGTTTCAGCATGACGTAGGTGTTGGCGTGTTCGTGTAACAGCTCGTTTCTCCTGCTCACATCCGCCCCCGCCTTGTGAAGTCTTTCACAAAACACTATGCCAGTGGGAATCAACTTCATGACTTCAATGATGCCATCTAGTACTTTCATATTTTCCTGCAGCAGGGAGGGCATTTTCTGGGCTACTGTTTTTATCTTAAGCGAGAAGTCGAGGTCTAGGTCGTTGTCTGGCGTGGAGCGAACATGTTGAACAAAGTCTGCTGCGCTAGTAGCTGCTAGTACTCCCACCCATGGCCAAACAGAAAGCTTGGAAAAGCACTCCAGCTGCAAATGAGTATAGCACATGTCCAGAATTAAACGACTCTCCCGCACCTCCTCCTCCCCACAATCCTGAGAAAACCGCTGCGCACTAGCCCCCATATTTGTTAACCACTCCTCCACGATCACTGTTTCTACTACTGCCTGCGATTCTTGCACTCTGCGAATGGATCCTTCTGCTAGTATGATTTTGCTCGACTGGTTTAGAATGCGCAAACCCAAAACAATTGTCCAGCAGCTCTTGATGAAAGTAGAAGATGTCATCTTCGGGTTTTTCAGTGCGTGCTTCAGGTAGTACTTCTTGCTGCTAGTCCTCAACGCCAAATCGCCACAATGCGGCCACACCCCGATGACATTCAGCAGGCAATATCGAGCTACTGGATCTATAGAATCACCAAACCGTTCAAAATTTACCTCCGCCGGCACGCAAAGATCGTATAGCACATTCGCAGTTGTTTCAGCGGTTACGCAGGAGTACAAGCTACCACCTCTAAAATAAATCTGGCAACTTTTCAACTTCTTGACTGTGTCAACCTTCCATTCTTCTGTAAGAAAATCTATCAGCCGACCATACTCCTGCGCCTCATCTTCCCCCATCGTCCTCCGCTCGTGACAACCTTCCACAAACATCCTGATGTGATCCCGAAGTACTGAAGCACTCCCGTTTGCACTACGACAAATCCCACTGAACGTCCGCTTTTCCCCTTCAGTTGGCAAAACAGTTGCCACCCCCGCCTTCACTCCTAGATGATAATGATGCATCGTGCATCTGCTCGGCACATACAGATCTAAAAGCTCTTCAAGTTTACTAATCACCGGGGAGTTGTGGCACTTCTTGTGCAACGCTGGCAAACGCTCCTGCAGAGGTCCTAAAGACGCGCCATCACCTGCAGCATGTGAAAGAGTGAAGATCATATCACATGGAGCGCCAGCCTGTCGGAGCAAAACACGAAGCGGCGGTGTATGATGCAACAGCTGCTGCATGATCTGCTCCCCCGTTTTTCCTAGATCTAGTTGTATCAGCGGTTGGTATGTGAAAAGCCTCTCAACTTTGCTGCTGGATAAAGAAGAAGATGCAACATGTTTCCCGATAGCGCGCACCATGAGCAAAGTAGAGCTCGAGATCGGCATCAGCGTCTCTGGGTGCTTCGTTGTCATACTAGTTTCGTCCCATTCTAAATGCGAGTAGAAAGCTATTGAAGATGAAGCCCCTACTCCTCGGAGAAATGCTGGAATTGTTCGCTTCTGGTGGTGTATTAACAAGTAGCAGAAGAGGTGCCTCAGTTTTTCAAGGCTTTGCCCGACTGAGAGATCCTTGATCTCTCCTGGTACGTTGCGGGTCCAGAATCCATTCTGCAGGTATCGGGCGTACTTCACCAGAAACTTAAGGTAAGCACCAGCAGCACGCACTGGGACCCGTGGTAAGAAAATCATATCACGCATCCCAGCTACTGGCATCGGAACTCCTGCGAACGTAATGTGCGGCGCATCTCCACCCACTGCACGCGCAGCGAGTGCCATTTTCTCTATCCTATCTCTCTTCTTTCTTTGCTGTTTTCTCTTATATATTTGTACTTGAGCCATAAGAATTCCGTATAGATTTTAAGACACTTCAATCATATATACATAATACACATAAGAATAAATGCTATGTATATCCTTTCTTGTACATTTATTTTCTACCCACTTTTTGATGCCCTTTGTGGTTTCTCTCCTAATCCCTCCAACAAAACCACACTCACCCTCAAACCCGAGACACAAGCGCAAACGGAATTCCATCTCGCACACCGATCAAGAAACCGATGAGAAAAACAATTTGCCAAACAACTTGAAAAAACAAAACTCCCCCAAAAATCTTTACCCTCCAATTACCCGCTTTTTTATCTTCAAATTAACTTATTCTAGTGCCATGCGGCAAACGCTTGAATGGCGCCCCTTGGTAGTCGCTCGAGTGGTTCGAGGATCGGGCAACGCGCGCGGCCCACTTTGCTACCGGGTTCCTTTTGGGAAGCCCTTGGCTGGTCGCTTAAGCGCGTGCAGCCTTGAAACCCACCAAGCCTGCCGCCCTGCAACATTTTGCCCCGCTGCGTCCGGCTTTGGGTAGTCCTCCGCAGAAGACAAAGAGAGCCGCCCGCCCCTGTCTCTCCTCTAAGTGTTGGAGAGCCGCGACGCGAAGCCCCTGCGGGTGCGGGTCTTGCACTGCCGGGAACAGGCTACAGCTGTCCGTAAGTGCGACCAGCAGCGAGCGCAGTGGAACCGTAGGGGAGAGGCGCGCCCGGTTGAAGAACTGCGGCCATCTCTACTAGCTGACGACACCAGCCCGCCGCGTCTGTCGCTGCGTTTCCTGGCGCTACTATGAACACAGCTAACGCTACGGACTACGAGACGCGTGGAACCATCTGACTTTTAAGGCGCTCACCTAACTCCCCAGAGGTCTGACAGCGTCGCCGCGCCGCCTGCTCCCGTTCACGCGTGGCCCCGCGACGCACCCCAAGAGCCTCCTGCGACCCATTTGCCCAACCCAGGCGCCAGCCCATGCAGCCGCAAACACAAGCCGGCGCAGCAGAGTAGCCCAGTCAAGTGACAACCTTGAAGGCCTGCCGCCCATTTCCTCCGCCCGGGTTCGCTCCATGCCAGCGGCATGCCACTGGGCGCAGATGGTCACGCTATCAAAGATACAGCAAAACGAGGCCGCGGCGCTGATAAGGTGGGCCGCCGGCGATCTGCTGGCCGCGTCTCCCGTCCCAAAGGTCGCGAGTGGGTCTCTCTTCGCGGGGTACAAATACAGACAAGCGCAGTCGCCGCATCGAGGTCAAAAAACCCAGCGAGCGCGTTGCGCTTGGGGCGGTGAAGCTGATCCGGCAGAGCGGACTGCCTCAAAGCGCCTCCAGTAAGTTAATCCAGCGCGGCAAAGACAGGCGCGACGCCTCTCCGTTGCGTCATTGTCAACATCAAGTATAAAAACAGGAATTAAATTTCGTACGTTGTTCTTGCCTGAGTCCCGAGTAGAGTTCTGGATACAGCAAAACTGTCGACTCTGGCAGTTCCGTATCAAAGACAACGCTAAACAGCAAGAACATGGTGTATATTGACGCGTAGCCAACATACAGAATCCCTTGAAAGAGCGGGACGGAGACAAAATAGAACATCGCCGAAAAAAGAGCTTTGGGATTAGAGCGGCATGCAGGTGTTGTTGATCATCATTACCAGTCTTATTTAAAACCTTCTACTTAATAAATCCAGAAGAATTTGTTTTTCTTTTCATTACTGACTTTATCAAAACCAATTTTGTAGATTTCAACTGAGTACAACAACAACTCTTCCCTTTTTCTGAGTAAGTACTGAGAAAGTGGTCATGAACCAAAAAGACACCCAGCATAAGCAAGAAGCTGAAAACCAAACCACGGTGGATGATCAGGATCGATAAGCGCACTGACCTCTGAAATGAGTTGCGTCCGTGGAGAAGCAACAGTCTTCGCAAAACTCGAAAATTTTCCACTGAGTAGTCTGCAGCCAAAGACGCCTGCTGCCCCTCTTTACCACGAATCCCTACGCCCACGTTTGCTTGTTGTTAGAGGCAGAAGCGAGAGTAGAGAGTGCAGCGCAGAGAGTACTCACTTGAGAGTACTTTTTTCGTGAGAAGTATTTCATCGATGGATTCAAGAAGTATTGGTATTCATCGTCATGAAGGAGCGTCAACGTCCCCCCGTTTGGAACTGAATACTACGACTCCAGCACTCACACGTAGTTATATCAGTGTGTCAAGTGTCAACTACGAAGGAAAAAAAGGATAAAAAAGTATAAAAAGGAGAATCAATTCGCTCACAACTCCATATATATAATGAAACACAACCAGATCATCCGTAAGCTTGTATCATCGACACATCGTTTCCTCCATCTCCGATGGCTAGTGTCCTTGTCCCTCGTGGTGCGTAGGTCTCTATCGCACTCACAACCGCCGCTTTCTGCGTCGGGGAGCAGCGACAACACACCAAAGATGGCGCTTGACTCGCAATTTTGATAAACGTCTGGATATTTTCCTGCCTCAGCAACACTGTCAAGCACTTGCCGTCGATCACAAGTACGGTATTGCTCATCCGCATCTCGGCGTACTGAGCTAGCTTCAGCATCACTTGCCGAGACTCAGCTAGTTCTCCTGGCAAAACGAAGAGATTCTGGTGCCTCGCCTTCAAATTTGTAGAAATGGAGATGCAAATTGCGGTCTCCACCTTGTCCCCTGTAAGCATCCACACTTTGATCCCAGCATGACGAATCGCCTCTAAAGTTTCCTGAACCTCATCCGTCAGCATGTCCTCGACACCAGTAAGAGCAACAAGCTCTAGGTCACGCGCCGATTAGACGAGGATAGGGTATGCGTATCAAGAACGCAGATACCCACGTGCTCAAATCCTGGAAGTAGAAGTATGAAAGAGTGATGAATGAGTGTGCTGCCTAGGAGTACTTCATCATATGGTACTTATAAGTGAGTCGAACCGGACTTATCTCTGTCTTCGTCGAACTGGAAGGGAAAGTTTTACCAAGAAGGCATGCAGATAGAGCCACTATAGCCATAATCCAGCAGATCGATTGCTCGTCTGATCTTCTCTTCCCTCGATCGCATTGCGCTCTTGGCTAAGTTGTATTTCCGCTTCCACTCTAAGTATTCCTGCATACTAAGCGATTTTTTCGCCAATACTAGAGTTCGTAGTCCGGTTCGAGCGTAATTCTCTACCTCCTCGGACAGCCATTTGGCAGACCGCTTTTTGAGGAAGTCACTCATCACACTGTCGGCGCCGATGATTAGAAGGTGCTGAAGGAGGACTAGAAATTACAGACCAATATGGGTCAGTTATGTTTTAATGATACCTAAGACTGTTTGCAGTTCAACATCTAAGAACAATGTCTTTACCAATTCATGTTGGAAATTCCTGGTACCAGCTAGAAATGCCATAACTTCAGATAGAAATGTATCGGACTGTTTGGTGGGAACGTTTTCTGCACCAAAATGCCCATTCGTTTTGTCTCCGATGTAAAAGGAAAACACTCTAAAATATCGTACTCCACTTTCACGTCTGTGCTTCCACCACCTCCAGGTACGCCAGGTAACGCTTTCTTCCCCAGCACCTTGCCAAGGTCTGCGGCAATCTCAAGTTTGTGGTCGGTACGGACGGTGAGTCGCAGACCCGCAGCATCTGCAAATTTTACGAGTGCGATTTCATCAGGCGATGCACCTTGCAGATCCCACGTGTCACTCTGCGTAGTGGCAGAAGAGGACGACGTGGGAGATGATCCTTCGATCGCTCCTGGACTGTTAAAAGCTGCTACTTGGGAACATTCACTGGGTGAACCTTTACTTTTCTCACTTGTGTCTATGTTAGAGCTGCCGCGCTTGCATCTTCCTTGAGTGTCATATCCTTGGCGCCTTTCTCAAGTAGAAAAAGAGCCAAGGATGGGACTGAGGATGCTTCAGCGGTAGACTTAACTATGCTCGTTTTGGCCGCGTTGTCTCCTCCACGTGGGCTTGGTGAAACGTTTGGTCTCTTCAAAGTAGAAAAACCCTCTTCTTGTGCAAGCTGTGTCGTAGTCCGCCTTGCCCGGCGACTCTCAGAAAAGCTGTCGGAGAGTAAAGGTGCGTCAGAAAGAGGACTGCTATTACGTCGTGGAGTGCGAGTGGTAGTGGTAATGTCTCGTGGTGCTCGCACGTTGGTCGCGGCTATACTTGTTTCTTCATCTGGGGCATTCTGCTCTCGATTTTCCTGATTTACCACCCCAACTACATCAGGCTGCTCTGGCTGTGAAGCTTGTGAAAAAATGGGCGTGACATTGTGGCAAAGTGCGAGACAAAGGATCGCGCCATAGACACTCTCTTCGGTGCGGTATTGTGCTAGTTCCACGTCTTGGTCTCTGCCATCCGCCTCGTCGTCCGCCAACAACTGACCACGTGACTCACTCGAATGTAATTCCAATTCGCGACCAGAAGAATTCATTAGGGCATCGTCGGTGGCAGTCGCATCTGCTCTATCCAGGAGACCTATTTTTGTAGAACGGGCTGATTCATCTGCGAAGCTCACCTGCTGGGACGGCTCCAGGTATGATGCTGACGCTACCTGCTCGCGCAGTAGGCACTACTCTTAGAGCATGCTGGTTATTTAGGAGAGTTAATATTACTGGTGGAGCAGGCATAACTAGCAAACACAAAAACCGAAAAGAGAAAGGTCAAGCCAACTTGAGGCCGATCATTTCGATGTCATACAGAGCCTCCTGAACTTTCGGTCTGAATAGGAGAGTCGTTAGTTTCATCTACTAACTCGAAATCTTAGGATACGTTCATTTTCTACTGCATTTTTCTACTAACAAAAACCAACAGTACAGTACTCAAAAACATAACTCGCCACATGCGCTCTGATCCTCCCCAAATCCTCCAACGCACTGAACTCGCCCATGGGACAGCGTAACCGCTGAAACACCATTTCGTTTCTGGTCAGTGTGCCTGTCTTATCCGAGAGGACGAAGTCTATGACACCCAACTCCTCTGGCCTCTGACTATTGCGAACCACAGTACCCGGAATCTGCTGGTCCAGTTGGATCTGGTAACTATGGAAGACTTTAGCCACCGTTAGAGCTGCTCGCGCAAATCTCCCATCCATCTTAAGAGACACATCCCCTAGGACCTTGGCCATTTTCCCCTTGAAAATGAAGCTCGTTGCCCAATCTAGGATGACTCCTACCTCTGAAAGTGGATAGATAATCAGGGATGAAACAAGCCTTAACATCTCCAGATTGACCCTTAGGGTCATTGGAATCATGAAGGAGAGGAGAATGACAAAGCGGAAAAAGCTATAGAAAAAGATCCAAATGCGAGATGTGAATGCATCGGATAAAGAATTTGAGGATATAGAATTTGAAGAACTCTCCGCTTGAGGGTGAGACGAGGAGGAAGAGGAAGCACGAGCATGAGCACCAGCACGTTCGGAAGGGCCTCTACCATGCGTGTTGGAAGATGGAAGATTCTGCTGTTCTTGACCAGCAGGTGTATTTCCGTTCCCCGTGTCGTGTGTATTCTCATTATTCCCTTGTGGAGAGGTGCTAGAAGACACTTGCACATTATTTGCGCCTCGTCTCTGTGCGTCTTGGTATCGACGTGTAGCGGCTGAGCGACGACGTAGTGCAACTGACTGCGCCACTTGCTGTAGACGTTGCACAGGACCCAGAGCAAAATCTGCATCATTTCTAGCGCGTGACCCGCCTGCAGATGAAGGGCGAAGCCGTCCCGGCGGTTGTGCCGCAGCTAATGGCACAACTCGAGGAAATGGCTGGTCAGTACCCGCAGAGCCCGCCAAAACGCTATTAGCAACGTCACGTCGTGCATTCACTCGTTGAAGCTGTTCAGGTGGCAAAGGTGCGCTCCAACTACGCATGAGCGGTGGGGCAGGCGCTATGGAAGCCATGTGAGCAGCAGAACTAGCCGTACTACCATCACCAACACGCGAATGCCAAACTGGCGCACTCGCAAACCCGGGACCACTTACTCCACCACCTAATAATGAGGTGCTACTAGCACCCATAGCTCCACCAATTCCTATTGGAACCGCATTCAAAGACGTAACACCAGAAGACGCCAAACTACTACTTCCAGCACCGCCCATCGTCGTATTGCTCGCCATTTGGTAGAACAGATACGGCGCTAGATTGAATGCTGCTAGGACGCTGGCAAAGAGACACATCAAAATTCCACAATAAAGTTAGAGCTACCGCATTACTGTCCCTGAGTGCATCCTCGGTCCCTTTGTCAGGTAGAAAAAGAGCCAAGTATGAAGGTAGTAAGGATGCTTGAGCGGTAGCCTTAATATAATGTCCATCTATCCGCAATGTCGTCCACATATCCCGTCCGGAACTTCCCTTTGGTCAAATTCAATGCTACTCGTGTTTCACAGCCAGTAAAAATCACGAATCCAACTACGTCTCCTTCAGTTACGACCGTGTCCCGCCACAGGGTATGCTCCAACGTCAAGCCTTCTGAGGAAATGCTAGCATAATTATTCTGCTGCGGTTGTATACTAAAACGGCCTTGAAAATTGTAGATGTCCTTATGCGGACTCTCCACGCGACACATTGCGCGCAAATTCGTTAAACGCCTATACATTTCCTGCGCATTGCTGCAAGCCTTTGCGTTCGGGGAAGAGGAGAAAGAAGCTGCGCCAGAGGCAGGAACGAGAACTCCTCCTCCTCCGTGCTGCTGATCCCCTATCGCTGCTGAGGATGATGATCTTGTGTTGCTGTTCATCTGTTGTTCGGTCGTCGTGTTCTTGTCCCCGCCCTTTATCAATGTACTTCCTCTCCTTCCAGGTGCACCGGCATGACAGTTGAACATTCGCTGGACCAATGCTACCGGTTTTCGCAACTTCCAGTCTGTTTCACCATCCAACTGATCGGTCCTCACATAGGTCTGCGCACTTTTACTCGTCGTGTGTATAAAGAGGCAATCTGCGGGCACTCTCTGGTTGCTTTTCAACAATATGAAGTCGCCTGCTCGGATGTCTCGAGCCGGGACGTCGCGCAAAGCACCAGTATCGGGATCAATACCTGGAAGATTGATGATAATCAGAATATCCTCAAAATAATTTCCGAATGTAGCTGATGGACTATATTTCAGAAACCGGTACATCTAGTTCTATGTCCTTCCAAGGGGATTGCCATCCGAGACCAGTCCTCGCGCTGAAGAACATAATCTTCAATCATCTGCTAGGAAGGTGTTTTTCAGCCAAAAGCTAGAACTACATTGATATCCCGCAGTATTGATTTCCCAATCTTTTGCTCTCCTTTTCCAATCATCCAAGAATTCCTTCAGCAGCGTAATGCTCAACGTGAAGGCAAGCGGGAGGATGTAAGTATAAGCCGGCCCAACTGCGATTGGCGGCCACAGTTGCGAAAGGGCTAAAATCAGATAAAAGAGATTCAGAAATTGTCGAAACTGCTGGTACAGGACGATACACGGAAAGTTCCACCAGGAATACTTGCGTGACCGCTGTTCATTACTGAACTCTTTTATAAAAGAGTGCTGGTGCAGGGAAGGCCCCTTTTTCTTTCCGCCTCCAGACCCTATGGCTTGTACGGGCTGCCCGACAAGCTGTGTTTGTCCACCATCTTCTGCGACCACAGCACCTCCCAAGTTCCCAGCACCTCCTACTCCTAGAATCTGTGATTGCCTAGTAGAGATCTGATCCTCTCTGTCGACTTCGTTACTTGCGCCGCCTGCTGAGGAATTATTCGTCGATCCTGAGAACTCCCCAAGCGTTCGATAATCCCTCCGACTTTTGATAGCTGAATACACTTGCTTACTCCGAGTATAACTGCTGCTGCTGCTGCTGCTTCCACCCACTTCCTCGGTGGACGCAGGTGCTCGCAGAGCGACCTTGGACGAGGAATTACACGAGGATCTTCTCCTTGTCTTATCATCATCTCCTCGTCCAGCATGATCTCCTCGAGCAGTAGTATGGTCATCGCTTGGTGTCTCCAGCAAACCTAAATTTTCATACCGCAAAGTTGGAAACGCTATCAGTCGATTTCCAGTTGAGTTCGTAGCCTTGGGCCAACAGCATGTCCACGCTATAGTATCAGGAAAATCCTCAGCAGCTTCATCTCTAGTAGTGGGGGCATCTCCTGGTTGCCCGCCTTGAAGACCTCCTATACTAGGCTGTTGTTGAAGAACCGGACCGGCTCCCAGCAGCGACATAGTGGCCATTTCCAAGCTCGGCCGCCTCAAATCACTTTCATACATAGTCACCCAATTTTATACATAGATTCCGTTCGCGTTAGAGACAATCTACAGGCAAAAACTAGGAGCGGTTTAGGAGTGCAATTTCTTGAGTGTCATTCACATCTTATGCGTCTCAGCTCGTTGTGTAGTCAAACCTGCACTACAAGCAAGTAGATGAAGAAACTTGAACTTTTTAAGTACTTGAACTGAGAAAAGTCTTTATGGTTATGCTAGTATCCTGCTAAAGGCACTTACGTCGACAAGATCGAATGACCACATCTTGTTCGAGGATCCTTGTGCTGCCTGCTGCTGCTCACCATAGGATCCTTGGTTCTTGCTGCTCCTACTCATCTTGCCCACATAGGACACTCCTTGATCCTAGAAACAAACTGCTCGCACTAAACTACTAACTTTCACATGCTTCTCGACTTCTAGAAGAACATGATCACCGATAGTGCGATAATTGAACATCCTTATGATCTAACAGGAGATGTCACTTTCTCTCAAAAGAGCACACCCCAGCGGTTCGCAAACAAGACTGTTGCATCCCTTTTTCTAACAGATGATACGACACCTTGTTGTTCATGTTCTCTGTCGTGTTTATAATATTTGGGAGTTTCTCTTCAGGTAGAGTACAATTTGTCTTGTAGGTATAAGCATTGGCGTGTTTGGTGCATCTGCATATCTTGTTCGTGTTGGGCGCCACCAGGAATATTGATCTATTTCAACACTGGAATGGTCCAGTCTTCGATATCGTCAATGTATGTGTAATATACAACAACTGTGACTGTCTTGGTCGTGTGGTCTAGTAGAGCAGGTGTCGACAGTCTTATGATGCCTCAAAATCATCGTCCACTCCCAGTCGTTCTAGAATAGCGATGGCTTTTTGAGCATCATTCAGCGTTAGACATCGTTGATCGTCAGTTCTGATAAAGTTTCCCCGTATTCTGGCCCTATGGGGTACTCTCGGCATATCGTCAGCCACCGTTAAATCGATGTCGTCGAGGGCGACCCAGTGCGTGACGTGAGGATGTTCTGTTTTTTGTAGTTGCCCAGAGTAGTTTCTTGAAGTGTTAAAAGCGATCACGATATTTTCCAATTATCAGGTTGCAGGTGGGTAGTTGAGCACAGTGAAGAAAGAGAGGAAGAATATCATGAAGCTCATTATCATTTGAAGACTGAAAAGGATTTCAAAGTGCATCCACGTATACCTTTCAGATACATCCCTATCTCCTGCGCTCTTCGGTCTGCGAAACTACCCACTGGGTTTCCCGTTCCTAACGCGCGTTCTATATCTGTAGTCGTAGCACCTGCTAGACCATTGGGCGATATCTTCTGCAGTCTTAACACTTTCTCAATCGTATCTTTCAAGGTGCTGTGTCGACGCCTGTGTTTCAAGAGGTAAAGCTAGTGAATGTCGGAGTTGTGGAAGATATGAAGTAGTAGTAACACATCTCCTGCTAGTACATGATCCCTGCTACTCCGAATTTTTTGAACTAATGTTTACGATATAGCACTAGCTTACAAAGACATGATCATATTGACTCACGACCCTTGCGAGTTAGCTGCATTGTCTATTGAATCTATGTACAGTACGTATAAGATTTTCTCGAACTCTGTATCATCAACATCATGAAAAGAAACGAGGACCATTCGCTGCTCATGACAAGGACTGCGCCAGTTTGCTCCCGAATATGCCTCAAAGCGCTCAGAGCTCCACTTTTGAAATCGTAATCTCCCGACAAAGGCAGTTGTACGTTTTGTCCGCCACCTACATCGACGCTAACGCAGTTCACGGCATAGGTCCTCGACACAGGTCGAAGCACACCATCGACGTCGAGGAAAATGACCTAGTGGTTTCGTGAAAAGGTAGTCTAAAAGGATATGAAAAATCCTATTTCTTGTTGAAAAGCGGTACACTTCATCACGTCAATCTATTATTGTTAGACGGACATCCTACAACAAAGGTATAATCCAATCAAATTTTTACCTTCGACGGTTGATCCGTTCGCTTTATTTCTCCTGTTGAGTAACTATTCTTTTCTTTCATCCATTCTCCCGCTTGACGGTCTCTCTCCGGATCTGGCGGCGGCAAAAAGTCGTACAAACCGCCCAAGCCTAGTCCTCCTGCAGCTTGTAACCGCATGGTAGCTGCCCTTGCTGAGTTCGTCCTCATTGGTCGCGCAGTGGGGGATGACTTCTGACTCTGCGTTATTGTTGGAGGGAGGGGTGCTTGGTCGCTAGAAGAAGTAGTAGTGGCTCTTGACAAATCTGATGTCAAAATTGGACGTACAGGTGCAACATCGGGACTTTTCGTTGCAGAGGAGCTTGAAGAAGAGGTGCTAGCCACGGTGACTTTTGGAGAAGTAGTCGAGGTGGCAGCACTTGAAGTTGAGGAAGCTCCTGCACTCGAAGTCGTCGATGCATCATGCGCGCCAGCACTACTAGACTTGATATCCTCCCTGCTCACCTGTTGATGACTGGGCGACGGCGAACTGCTTGTTGGCGGTGACTCCCCATTCGCCTCAGCGCTTCCTCCATTTGTCCGAGCCCTCTTAGTTCCTGAGGTCCTGCAAGAACTATCTTGTTGACAACTATCTTGCTGATCGACTATGGTAGATGTGGTCGAGGAGTCTCGATCTACAGTGGTAGATGAATCCCCTGACGTTGTTCGGCCAGTCGAAGCTGAGTTCGGTTCCTCACTCGTCTCACGCTTTAGCGCCGCCGCGCGCTTCAAATTCACACGGGGATTAAACAAACCTGTTGAATAGTGGTAGTGGTTGTTCTCGAGGTGGATTCACAATCTACATCTTCTAGTATCAATTTTTAGACAATAAGATGAGATTCAGATACTTCAATCATGGAATGCGGAGACAATCCATAGGAGGACGAGATAAATTGTGGGAGCCTGAATCAGCCTCTCAAAAAATGACTCAGCAGAGCAGTCATCGCAATGAATCGCATCTAATTACAATCCACTTCATCCACGATGCACAACAAATATAATTGGACGGTTGATGAGCAGTACGCATGATTTCCGCTTTGCCGTAATACTGCTCTGCTCCCGTGCGCCTCTCAATAAGAGCGATATATGAAGCCAACCAGCATAGGAAGGAGAATGCTTTCGAGTTCAACAGGAGATCATGTAAGGATTTTTAGTAGAGGAGGTAGCCGCTTGAAGTTAGTTGTAGAGGGTTTCTTTTTGTTGTTGTTCAGAACGTCAAGTCTTTTACTTATCGAATGTAACAAAACCTGGACAAAAAGAAGTGGAACCAAATAGCACTATCCTCTTAGGACCAATTGGGTCACATATAAACACTGACTGCTTACTCACGCGACCTCACAACTCTCTAGGTCTGAAAAGCTGCTCAAAATGGAGTAAAATTGTGCAGTTGATGGCGATGATGATGATCTGACCAGCACAGTGTGTGTGTCTGCACTGAGTCCGGCTGGAAAATGAGCAAGCGACCAAAATGAAAATGAATCGACAACAGCTACTTAATACTTACACCCGCGTCAGTAGTGTGACATCAATATTTTGATTTTTTCCTTTAACGTTTTCTTTTCCCCAGATGAAGACTGATCAAGCGATGTTGTAGTGCGACAGATTTTTTTTTGAGCTGCGAGTTCTTGCTTGTTACAGCAAAGTATACGTGTTCACTAAAATGCAGTCAAGTAGGCATGTTTGACCCTTGACAACGAGTGTAGAGCTAAAAATTCTCGCTACTTTGCCTAGAGTTTCAAACCAAATATCTTGTCATCGATCTTGATCGAGAAAACTCTATTACCGGTTTAGAAGAGTCGAAAATTTGCGAGACTAGACCACCAGACCTTCATGCTGTTGCTGTCGCCCGTGCCCTTCTCTTACAAAGGGAAATTTCTTTTGATCAACGTGACTGAGCAGCCTGAGCCATGCCTGTGCTCATGCCTTTGCTCAACGAGGCTCGGGAAGTTGCTTAATTTTCGATGCCTCGCAAGGAATTCTAGCTAAGAATGAAAAAAACCAGAAACTGCTAACTACCATGAATAAAAGCTAGAACCTCCGCTACTCGTTCTACAGTATCTTGATCTGTCTACTTGTACTTACATAACGGATGACGTTCACTGGGGAAATCTCTTTAGTCTAAAGAACTATCGTCTACGCTAGCAGTGGCTAAAAACATTCAAAAGCGTGCGGGAGGATCCTGTGATTTTTGATAGTAGAATTTCATCAGTCATTATCATCTGAAGCCGTAACTATTGTCATGAAGGAAATACTTAATTCATGAAGCGTTGATACTTACATAGTTTGACGAACCACGTCGTGCACACAGAAAACTCCTCTGATTAGAGACACAAGATTTCTCCTTCAGCTTAGCTGGCTGAAACAAACTGCGCATCGCAAGTCTCGTCCTCTTCAACTCTCACACACCACACGACTAGATTCAACAGAAACTGGAATCAGAAGTATCGCCAACTCTCAATTCGTTAACAACCAACATCTTCGAAGTATGATCACGTTCCAAGTTCAACTTCAACTTCGACGTGCTTATAATTTAGCAAAGCGGCTGAAGCGCAACAACAGATGAAACTGACTCTGACTTCGACGTGGATCTTCTTTTACAACACTGTCTGTCTGTCAACGTAGAAAAAAAATAGTTCAATGTATGCACAAGACGATCATTGATTTTGTGCTGCGTTATTACCACAGATCTGGTGAAAACAGAGTTTGCTTTGCGAGCTTATCGTTGTTTTCGGAGCAGTTTTTTACATCCTAGTAAACTTAAAATATCCCAGCTTGTTTGAAATAACAAGTTCCATCATGATCTAGAGGATGTAAAAAACTGCCCACTCACTTTCGACAGTCAGTTCACTTTGGTCAGTTTCATCTGCTGCTCTGCGCCCAATTCGCTTTGCCACAGCTAGTGCTAGAAGATGCTTAGTCCTAGACGAATGGAAAAATGTGATTTCGAGTTCGTATGTAAAAAACTTGCATACGGAGCTATATGTATGATCGTCATCCACTTCGGGCATATACTTCATCCGCCTTCTCCAAACGAGGACGTTGTTCTTGTCATGTGTGTGCCCCTGTTATGGTCATTCGCGACCACCGTAGTTTTTTTTTTGCGTTAGGACTATATGCTGCCACCCTTTCAATTAATTATTTACCCCGTATTATTAAGATCATCCAAATTACATACTGGGTGCGCATAAGACCGTACAATCGGCCACAAATCTACATCTATCGTAGTTTCTTTTTTGCGTTAGGACTATATGCCACCGCCCGATCAATCAATTCATTAATCTGTTCAATTAAGATCATGATCGTAGATTTTTTTTTTGAGTTAGGACTATATGCCGCCGCCCTTTCAAACAATTAATTGACTCGTTCAACTACTGTCATACAAGTTATATACTGGAGGCGCATAAGACCGTACATTCGGCCACAAATCTACATCTATCGGAGAAAACGGCAGCCGACTTCGAGGTCGACCACCATATTAGCCCAGCTGGGAAATGCTGATCCCTTCTGACTCTCGTTGTACCGTAAAACAAGGAAAATGACCCGACTTCTTCAGTCTGAGGCCCGTCGATGTACTGAGGCTCATCGAGGAACCGGGTAAGAAGATCTATCACATCCGTTTCTTTCAAGAGAAGCCAAGGCAGCATTTTCAAAATTTAGTTTCGCAACAAAGTAGGAGCGAGGGTGCTCCTGTGACCACAACGTATTTCCAAGAAAGTATACTCAGCTTCTCGTGATGTATGATGACATCAACAAAATTCTTGACAACATCATGCTGTCAACAAAACTTGTTACCCAGCTGTAAAGCTCCGTCTGCAAAACTGACACTTAACTTCTTGTATTCTTTTTCTCATCGTCCTCATTCCTTCTTACTATATTCGCAGCAGATGAGTTGGCGAACATAGTTCCGAATAGCATGCGCTTCTTCGGTGTTGATGTTGGTGATAGGACCCTGCTCTTCGGTGTGCGTCTCATCGCTGGAGCAGGTCCACTAGTCGCTTCGTCACTACTTCCTGAAGAGGAGGAGGACGTTTCTGCCGGATACTCGGAGGATGAGGAATTGCCGGTGTCGGTTGAACTCGAACCACCTGTGAAATCGTCCACAGGGATGACATCAACAGGAGCTTTGCTTTTACTGTTTACCCTACAACTCGTAGAAGTAGTTGTATCCCGAGCAGTAGAAACGGCGTTGTTCTTGTTTTGCAGGTCGTCTTCCGTTCTGGCGGAAGAGAACATTAGAGCGGGAGGAAGAGTCTAGGGGGGTCGGACCGGGACAAGCTAATGTACAATCTCGATCGGGAGGAACAAGCTATCTTCAGTAGCTCAATAAAAATCGGTCCGACCCCGGCAAGTGCCTACTCATCCAACAACAAAAACATATTCACACTACCCACCAGTCACCACCATGATCATCACTCGACCATAATGCTTTTTGACCCTTTTCATCACCCTGCTTTTGTCCTTTCCGACTTTGACTCGTCTCCGTTTGTCTCCGACTCGGTGATACGGCGTCTACTATTTTCCTTGCGATCAACTCCACATCCTCGTAGTCGAATTTGCCATCGCCAGTCACATCCAACAATCGGTGAACACCGGTCGAAACTCTGTGATACACGAAGCGGACTATCCGAGGTACACTTACCAGGTTCAGCTCGTGCAACAGAAATATTGCAAGGATGATCCCAGACACCCATACCGAGTCCGCAACGCAGTACCGTAAAAAATACCACGAAAATCGAAAGAGATAGGGAAATGAAGAAAGATGACGATGAGTGAGAGCGATCATTGGCACGTACAGTAGAGTAGGATTGGCACGATAGAGTGTGAGTGTACGTAGAGGTAGAGTAGGAGGTAATGTAGAGTAGGAGGTAATGTAGAGTAGGAGGTAAAGTCCATTCTAGTCTCTATTTAAAATGACCACTCATTGAAGTGCCAAAGATGAATATGGAATATGAGCAAACCACATGATGACGCGATCTATTCAGCAGATTGCCCGGGATTTCCCTGAGAACAAAACCTACTGTTTTGATTGATTGATTGATTGATTGATGTGCCTGGCAAGAGGTCAAGTAAATTAGATACCCTTTTATCTCTTAAATAAAACAACGTCCCGCTTCCGATCACGTTCGAAAGGAGGTAGAAAGTAGCTCCGATCTTCCAATTTCCGTAATACATCAGGAACAAGCTGAAGAAGAGTTTCAAGACCAGCGTTCCAACGTCGCGTATTAACCCATAGAGCTCAAAACACGTCCGAATCAAACCATCCAGCTTCTCGGTTACCGAGAACGTAGAGGAGAGAAGCTCGAACATTTTTGCTTGACGTAGTTTTTCTTTGAGCTATTTCGTACAATTCATGCTAAATAAGTAGTTGTTCCAAGGAACGTCTAAGTACTTATTGTATCTTAAGGACATGTGGTGATACTTGCTTGCACGACGACGATGCAGAGAAAAATAATAGTTGGAAGCAGTGCGTGGACAAAGGTTACTGGCAGTACTTGCTTGTGAAACTAATGCAAGAAGCGAATGTGAAACCATGAAAGCAATCAAAAGGTAGGCTCTTGCAGGCGAAAAGATGGGAAGGGGGGTCTTTTGCTCACGTACAATCTTGTTTGCTCTCTCTCTCAGCATTTCTCGTATATCAAAAGTAGAACAAAACACGCTCGATCGCCAGTAACAGTGCGCTAACAGTGGTTAGGTTAGAAGATACATCAATAATACAGATTTATTCCATACTCTTTGCGTACGACAGAAATGAGACTTTCCTGCCGAATATAAGGCTAGACAGATAATCAGCAAATGAGGACGTTGAGACTCAGTACCAAGAGCTTTCACTGTCGCCGTGTCGAACAACTGAACTCCTAGCTGCGCTGGTCACTATACTTGTTATGTACAAGGTCTGCGGAATCTGTTAGCCATAGTTCTGGTGTGTTTCTGTTTCAAAATAACAGTGCAAATAAGTCTGAGACCGTGCAAATCTAAGCACCCCATTTTTACGTCTGAGTACTTTTCCTCGGCGACGGAGCAAGACAAACCTCTTTAGTAGAGGACAAAATAGCCTCGCCACCCGCCAGCACAGCATGTGCTTCTTCATGTCTGTTGGAGTAGTACTAACAAAGTATCTGCTGTCTTCCCTAATTCGTCTACTTATTATTTGTAAGAGTTCTTCCTCCCTGTGTATCACTGTTCACCACATTTGATTGCCATGTTGATAGGATAGCACGACGACAATCATGTGTAATTTTTAGACGGAAACGAGCTGACTCGCCAGTTCTTTTCTTCGGTATTCGAGGTATGAACTTCCATCTCCATGCCTCTGTATGTTTATGTCTACTGTAACTGTAGTTCAAATAAGACCTCAGATCATTGCTGACAGACATCAGAAATTTCCGAATAGTAATTAGCCTTTTGCTTTAGTAAACACGAGAATAAGTAAGTACTAACCGCGATTGCATTTGTGAGAAATGAGAATGAAAGTTAGAACTATAAGCATATTTCAATCTAAATCCTCTAAGTGAGATCCACGATTCATCTAGTTATAAATCTGTAGTTCTACGCAGAACAGTCCACGGGCTTTTCCAAAGTTATCAACTACCTACTTGCTCATCACTTAATTTCACAAGAAACTTCACCACAGCTACATAAACTGCTGCTGAGATGAGTGTTCTTCCTCTAGTACCAGGATTGCTGAGAATCTTCTTCCTCTACGTACCGCATTATGGAACTTCTTCTTCCCCTACCAATTCTTCCATGGTAGAAGTTCCTCTTATCCCTATGATCCCCACTAATTCGTCCACATCACTAGATTCATATCTACTTGCAGCAGCACAGCTTGGAGCCGCTGTTGGGATCCTTCAGGAAGCCCTTCAGCTCTTCCGGAGTGTACTGCGCGCCACCAGCTTCTCCGCCAGCGTGCGGCCGTTAGAGGGGGAAAGACGGAGACATAAAAGATCAATATCGAATCCTCATCGTGGTCATCGAATAGTACTAGTAGAGTTACTAATACTAATCATTACGTAGTTGGCTGTTCTTGTCGACCTCGACAGATTCAAAACATTTTTTGCCTGCGTAGTTTATTTAGCATGAGAGTCTCTAAGTCACGTTCTATCCACATTCGCAATTACAAAAATGCGAAAAAAAAGTTGCCATAAAATTCCTCATCGGCCACGAAGCACTGGAGTGTTGTGTCCACGGCCAACCCGAAAACGTCCATAAAGAGTTGTCCAATCACGTATCCCATCATAAAGAAGAGCAAGATGCAGAGAACCGGAGAGCTGATATCCTCCTCGTACATGGCGATGAGGATAAAATATCCGATGGTGGTATGAAAGGGAGGGAAGAGAGGGGAGGCAGAATGGGATGGTGGATGGGAAAGGGTTGATTCAGGGTTCCTATAACTGATGATTTCAGACCCTTACATGATCAGTTACATCGTCTATTAGGCGAAAGAACCCATACCTGTATTTAGATAACTCACAGATTGACCACCTTCACCTTCAGCTGTTAGAATTATAGGACACAAGGATTACTATTAATTAAGATTTTAAAGGACAGAGAAAATATCAATAATATTTTAGCAGTACTCATCAAGCAACTGAGTTCATAAATTGTCGTCGTCGCAACGATGAACATGATACCAATAGCGCGGACGAGCGTTCCGATCATCGCGAGGACACCTAGACGGGCAGCGTTTCGGAGGATCAAGCAAAAAGCGGCCCAAGCTGACCGACAGAAGTTCTTTCCGAGAATAGCAATCTGGATGTAGGCGTTCTTGTTGAGGAACTTCACAAATCGCTCAAAGCACCGAACGATGCACTGGAGCAGAGCTGCGATCTTCTGCAAGATGTAGTTTTTCTGGGCTTGTGCGTTTCGCTTGACGTACTCAAGAGCGTACTTGATGAACTGAACGACTGCAAGGATGAACGCACCGAAGGCAAGAGAACCTGTTGAAGAAGTAACGGTAAGCTATAGTATGATCTTTGATATCTATTGTGGACAACGCTATCATATCGTCGAAATACTGATCAATGGACAACAAGAAGTCTGCTTCCGAAAAGCCTCATGTGGTATCAAAACTAGCAAAATTAGTAAGAGCAAACAAACAGAAGAAAACGATAACAAATAACAAGTACCGAAGTGAAATCGGAAGCAGTTGTAGACAGCTGGCATGATAGCAGCGTTATAGCCCTTCTGATCGTTGGGTGTGAAGTACCAAGCAGCCACGGCACCAGCGATAGTGCACTGACCGATGGCGACAATCAGTGCGTTGTTCCATAACAGTGAGAAGAAGACGTAGGCAAATGTCGTGTCGAAGGGAGATTAGAGACAGAGGGAAGAGAGTGAGGAGGGAGGAAAGAGGGAGACGGGAAGGGGATTCGCCCCTCATCCCTCTTCAAGTACCTTCTACATAACCGAAGGAAAGTCATACTACCCACAACAAATTTCTTGCTACAGCTCACACCAACTTAAAGTCGCCTTAAGAGTAACGCGGCATGGAACATCGGTAGCATTTCTGAGCTCCACCTGGCACACAGGTGGCGCCGTTTTTGATATCCGACCGGGCTCCCGTGTTCCAATCCGTGATGTCATAGGCAATAGACTCGTCAAAGAATGAATCACCTGAGGTAGCTCTTCAGTGAAATACCTTAGTTATCATCTAAATCAAAATCTGAGGTTATCGTTATGACTTTTAGGGTTCTAATACAAGCACCAATCAAACACGCCCCAACAACACAATCAACAAATAAACAAACTGAATAAATGAAGTACCTGTGGGCCAGCTATCGTTGCAAGCACCTGGTGTATCCGTGCAGCCCAGATCCCAGTACTTGCAGTCGTTGGTGCCATTAGCTCCAATGTAATCATACGGTCCGGACTTGCTTGTATCCGTGTTGTCTATGCGACTAAGAACGTACATCGCAACAACTAACCACCACAAAGCCCAGAGGAGTGCGACACTTTATAGGTTAGTTTATGAAAGGAATGTCTGTGGTACTGTTTAGTTTTGTGTGGTTGTTGAGGTAGTGTAATTGTGATGTTGTTGTGAAGGATGCTGAGCAACAAGTTGCAACTACTAATGTAGAACAGTGTTGTGATCTGTGACAAAGTTTTCCAAAAGATTTTCCTCTTCATGCAGCATCACAACTAACCTGTCAACATCTAATAGAAAGAAGCAGTACACAGCTTGTATCGGTGGCAACAGGATGATTCCCTTCGTTTGATAGACGAACTTGGCGGCGACTTTGTTGACAGCGATTCCCAGTTTGATTCGGGTAAACATGCAGCAGATGAAGATTAGAGCTACCACGTCGCATCCTTGAGCCCATCCCTGACCCTTTTTTCCTTGAAAAAGGAGCCAAGGATGGAGTTGAGGATGCGTTAGCGGTAGCCTTAAAAAGAACGCGTAGATTCCGGCAAGGATGATTAGAGCTCTCCCTGATGCATCGCAAAGTCCATCCTCCTGAGACACGTTTCCACCCGTTGAAATACAACCCTGCGACCGTTGCCACCCCTTGAGACAAAACGTCTCTCCTAGGATGACTTCTCTCAAAATGGGAGATCATTAGAGGAAGCCTTAAGATCAAGAAGATGTAAGCGTACACCTTGTTCTGGTCTCGGACGCTCTCATCTGGTTCCTCGCAATCCTCCACCGTCGATGTAGTCACTGCTCTCTTATTAGCGCCGGTCGGTTTTTTATGTTTATTAAGATCAAATACAGGGATTATTTGAACTTGAAGGATCTAATATTCTGGCATCTTGGTTCTTAGCGTTTTTTTCCATCGTCTATTTGAAGAAGAAGTTCAGGTTTATTCGATGATGGAGAAACCATTCTACAGTCGACTACGGCAACATCTCGTCTAATTTCCCCAAATACTTAATACACTTGCTCAATAGCAGGCAAGATTAAGATTAAGAGACTTCTGGCTTGCGACAGGCAGCGGCCAGGGCTCCAGAAGTCTGGAAGTATCTACTTACATATGGTAAGTAGCCGTAACAGTGGCAAGTCCCGTGGTCGAGTTTGTTACTGGCGCCGTCAAAGTCTTCTCCTCACAAATGGTTTGGGCATAGAAGTAACCGCCACCCGCACACAAGAGCACCAGAACAGAAAGAATTGCACTCCACACAATGTAGCCGACGAAGAATCGCAACAAAATCATAAACACGAAGCCAGTACTTAGACGAGGGGCGTAGTAGTGGTAGTTTTTCATCATCCTGAACTAGAAGTATGTGAGAGTGCCTTTCGACCCTTTTCCCGTTTCCTGACCTAGAAGTACGTGAGAGTGCCTTTCGACCCTTTTCCCGTTTCCTGACCTAGAAGTACGTGAGAGTGCCTTTCGACCCTTTTCCCGTTTCCTGACCTAGAAGTACGTGAGAGTGCCTTTCGACCCTTTTCCCATTTCAACTAGAAAAAAGTCCATGCGGCGTGTCGGGTACATCTCCAAGTCCTCCATAAGATCACAAGGGAGAGGATCCCGACAATCACGAAGGACCAAGCTGCGATTTGAATATCACCCATCATGGAACCGAAATCTGGAGCGATAGCTCCTGCGCTTTGAAAATTAGAGACCACAGGTGTGCTAGTACCTTCCACCTATCGTATGGGATTTAGGGGATCAGGATCATCAACTACTTGGAGCACCTCGCACAAAAGTACTTCTTGTTTAGTACTTACTCGTGGACAACAATCTAGACACCAACTACTACTAGTACACTACTATCCCGGATAGTACTGTATCACGTCATCCATCGCCATAATAGACAAAGCATCCGCAGCTGCACCAGCAGCCGCGCTGAGTCCGCTAGTTCCAAAATCGAAAACGCACAAGTCAGCGACAGCCATCTGCTTCAGACCCGGGAAGGGGATGCAGTACTGAGGAGTTTCATTAGAGCTTTTTAGCATCAACTATACACAGCGAGAAATCATATCGAAGACATTGCAACTATTTGATTTCATTTCATGAAGTCTAGTAAAACACTGGCTAGCATACGTACCAGCACCTAGAGGAATATGCGATGCCATTCCCCTCAGAAGTGAAGAAGACACGAGAGACAACGTTGACGAAGTATAACTACAATGAATTGAATTATAACAGAAGTAAGAGTTATACATAGGCTAAGCCTTAACATCTGGACAAATAGAGGCTGGAAGAGCTTGAAAAGAGAGCATGTCTCGGAGACCCGGGATAGCGTCTAGAGTGGAACCTCCAGTAGTATACAGCCAGTGCATGATCTTGTACCTGGCATGATAATGGAAGAAGAAGATGATCTTGTATGTGACCACACATGGATGGAAAAGTTTTTACATACTCTGCCCGTACAACATAGAAAACATACGTACATCAACATAGTATCGACAGACACGAATTTTTTCGAAACGCACATTTTCTAGAAACACTTAGTATTTCCTAGAAACACATTCAATACCATCCAATATTCGGTCGTGCCTGGTAATAGGTGTATAAAGCAGTAGAAGTACCATCCAACATTCGGTGGTGGGTAATAGTTGTATGTCCTCGCTGATGCCATTGTCTGGTTTGTTCCTGCCGTTGCTTTGGCGCCTATGGCGAAATTCGAGACGTCTGTACAGGAAGTAACGCAGGATGGCGTGAAAAATGTGGACATCTGCGACAGCATGCTAGGATCTCCCTCCATGAGCATGGACACGTCACCGCTCGCGAGTTTCTGCATCTTAGCTGTAGGATCATCGTTGCCTACACCAGCACACAGAGCGGCTGCATTCTCAGTGGCAGGTGGGCTATCTGCAGAAAGATTTACATTCATCTGTGGGTTCGATCAATCATCTGTGGGTCATGAAAGATTTAGGGTTGGATTTCGACGTTTCTACTTCTTCTGGCATAGATAATATTGCAGAGGAGCTAGAAGAGAATCGCAATCATAAATGGAACATGTGCTGCTGGTAATTTGACTGGTGATATGTCATCAAATATTGGATACAAGTAATATCAACTTCTTCGAGGCCAGAATCGTCGTATGTCATGTCATGATACCTCTGTGCCCGTCCTGTCTAACGGAATTCTTGCTCCAAGAAAAAAACCTAAACAAATCTCATAGTACTCGCAGCATCATATGCGGCTTTGATTGTAGGACTGCAAATCTTTCCGCCCACACCAAGAAACTGAAACATCGCTTGGACATTCATCGCGTAGAATTGCTGTTCTTTCCCAGTGAGGTCCCATCCCGGACCAATCGATTAGATGAGACGTAATATTATTACGAAAATAAAAAATAAACGTTTATTAATAAGATGAACCTAGGACTTTCTAAGATCAGTAAATAAACATTTATCAAATAACGTTTATTAAATAAATTATACTACAATGAAGAATGCTGGAGATTTGGTATAAAATTGTGGAGATGTTGGAAGGCCATATTTCTCATCCGCATTCCAAGGGTTGAAGTTTCCCTTTGAACCGCAAAAGCCACCCTTCCAATCTCGCATCGCCGTCAATCGAACTGGGTCTCCATCGCCTCCCATACAGATACCCATGATAATGATGAACACGACCTGACGAGGGCGATGTAGTCAGGATGGAGGTGGAGGAAACCTTGGAATCTAAACTAGTAGGTGTTGTTCACACAGACACAACAGAAACGTCCTACAAAACTTCTTCCATCCGGTTCCTTAATACCAAGTTTCACAGTGTAGTCTGTGTCACAGTGTAGTAGTAATCTTCCTACTTCAAAGACAGCCCAACATCTGAGAATGTGTATAAGTACCCAATGCACGACTCAGAAATAACCCAAAAATTTCAAAATGCGTATAAGTACCCAATGCACCGCGAACAGTGCTGTGCAGAAGATATCCGTGCATCCTCGGTTTTTCACTGGCCCATTGGAGCAATCGTTCTCGCCGCCCTTTTCCAGGGGCTTCTCCATCTCCGGACCATCATCCTTACTAGCTTCCGCCTCCGACATCTTTTGATCAATTATCAAACTATAAGGATGCTCAACAAGTATGGAGAAAGAACTATTGATTGTAGGTGATTAGGGTACTAGGATGGAAGCTGACTCTGTACTTAGGGAGGTTGTACAGCTGTTTGGCGTAGTTTTCAATTTGATTACTTACATTCGATGGTCTCCTGAACTTTACCAGTTCTTTTCTCTCATCTCTCTCACTCTACCTCTATGCAACAAGACAAGGCTCCCTTTTCTATCTCTCTCTCTGGCTCTCTTGTTTCCGCAAAAACAATTTTTGGTCTAATTCGTGACAGACCGTAATCGAGATATCTGCGTCAAAAACGGACGTCCTATCTTTCGTCCTCCTGTTGCAACCCGTCGACAGCTACGAACGATTAGTCGAGCAGCAAGGGACGAGCCTTAAGCATTTATCAAGTGCATTTTTACCATACAAGAACTATGATCACGAACGATAGAAGATAGGACGTTGTTGGTTAGCTACGTGGGTAGGCCATTATGCACAACAAGACGTTTCGTCACCTTAAGAGTCCTCTTCTATGCACAGGTTTTACTATGCAGGTGCAGGTCATGCCAAAAGCGTAGTATCTCTATGCAACTAATTGCTATTTCCGTGGAGATCTCTAGGCTATGCAGATGAAATTTTGCACTCGGTCTTTGTCATGTAAACAAGGGATGCAGCATGATGCATGTACGCATGTCAACTAAGTTCTTCTAGGTGTATAATCTTCACTATATTTTTCGCCTATCTGTTTTATCAAGTCGTAGAGGCATACTCGAAACGAAAACTCGATCGCGCGATGACTATATCCATTTTCAGTTGCTTTGTCGATGTTTGAAAATTCTCTTAAATTCATTATAGGTTTTTGTTCTGTTCAGAAGACAGAAGTTGTTCTTGGTTGAAGCAAGTTGGTAAAATTCTTAGCTGGTGATTTTCTCTTTGTTGAAGTTTTGGTAAAATTCTCGGTTTGATAACATCATGCTGACTCAGAGTCGAGATATTGATAATCTTCAAGAACTACTACAAGAGACTTCTAAAAACATCTCCCCTTCAAAAGACGCTTATGGCACACCTTATCAGACACACACGTGCGCCTCCTCATCAGCCACGTCCCGACACTTCACGGCAACGTCCCCAAAACTCGTTCCCTCACACGCGCAAACGCGTCTCCGTGACCGCCATCCCGGAAAGAGTGATGGTCCGAAAAGTTGTCGAAATATAGAGGAGAGTCGTATGTTAGCTTGTTTGCGGGATCAAACAGCTTTGGTCCCCCATGAAACTGCATTTTCGGCATAATCAGGAAGGGTGTGGTGTGGTTCGGGAGGTTAGAAGTAGTAGTTTTGCTATACTGGGGTTTGTTGAGGTAGTAATTTTGTGGTTTGGGGTGGTAAGGTTTGTGGGAAGTAGTTATTCTAGCATTGAATAGATTAATTTTCAAGGCGGAAGTACGGTATAACCCTACTTATAAGTGGGTCACTGCGGTGGGTGCCTGTGCCCACTTAGAATACTCATCATGGTCCACGACAGATAATGGAATACTACATCACCTCAGCATAATCATGGAACTCCTTGTGCGGCTGCTGCGCTGTGTCATTGTCGTTCCCTGTGTCATGCCTCGATAACTACCTACAGTCCACGAAGCACGCTGACCCGAAGTCCTAGCGGCCGCACCTTGTGGCCCTGCTGGCTCCGCTGCCGCTGCTTCGGGTTGTGCTCCAGCAATAGATTAGAGCTTACTACTTCTCCGTGGCCTCCGGCCTGGCGAAGGGGAGTCGCTTCAAGTGTGAAGGGACTAGATAACTGACTAAATAAGTAGGACAAAGCATAGCCTTGCCAGTAGTATGATAGCCAGGGCCACGAGGCAAAGAATTGAAGATATCTCGAACGGGAAACGTCTACAGTGCTCTCCTGTTTCGAGGTCATCGTCATGGAAGGGGAGTCGCTCTAAGAAAATTCTTGATAGCAGCGGCCCTATCCTTAGAGCCCTTCTGCCGGCATATCTTTGGAATCTAAGACAGAAACGGTCGCGAGAAACAACCTGTGAGGATGAACTAGTATGAGCCATAACTAGAAGAGTTGCGAACGTACTGGGCTAAAGCGTCGTCTCCTTCTATTTCTACCACGGAGCTGGGACCTGCAGCGGGTGCCACACCCTGAAACGACTCTTCTTAGAGCAACCGCGTTAGTATCCCTGAGTGCGTCCTTGGCTTCGTTTTTCGGTAGAAAACGGGCCAAGCGATGGTGTTGAGGATGCTTTAGCGGTAGCCTTAATCTTCTGCTTCTACAGCTGATGATGACACTCTCCCTTCCTGTGTGGTTCCATATGAACCGCGTTTCTTCGAAGGTGAAAAATAGGAAGACAGCCGACCTATAATTCCACTCACTGCAGCACCTACTGTGTCTGTGGGTTGTTCTCGCGGCTCCTCGCTTCGTGCCGAATATGGACCCACTCCTGCAGCACCAGTACTTATTCTTGCTCGACTGCGGCTCAAGGGCTCCGTTGCCTCATTCTCTTCATCCCCAAGCGCGCCCTCATCGTAGTAGTGAGCATAGTCCTGTTGCACGCTGCTTCTGCCTGCCTGGACACGACTCGGGGAAGCATCCACATCCTCAGTCCGCTCTTGAAGTATGAAAGGGGAGTGGTTGAAATTCCGTATCCTTCTACTTTTTGAAAATCTTATCAAGAAATAAGCTGTACTTTTCTTTGGTGTAGTCGTTGAAAAAGACACCTTGAAACAGAAAAAGACACCTTGAAGCAGTATCATGTAGTGCTTCTCTTTAGACTTACAGACAGACACGACCATACGTTCCGTCTCTGCGCCCTCTGTCATATTGCCCGCATCTGCTGCTCCGGTGTCCGAGTAGTAGTAATATTGCTGCAAGTATGAAAGGGAAAAGCACCAGTTGTACGACATTCTATCGATTCATGTACTCCTACTTACTTAAGATATTATAATGCACTACCTTTTATAACTCACTACCGCATGTGATGTACTATAGCTAGAGGCGACGTTCGTATCGTGATCTCTTCTATGCCGCTCACGCTCACGCCCTTCTAGTGTTAAGTAAGCATGTAGACCATAGAATTTTAAGAAATGTAGTGAGACGACAAAGATGAAAAAAATCTGTTCTTCTAATATTAGGTAAATAGCATTGTCCTCGATGATGTGCTGCTGCACAGATAGCTCTCATAACAGTGGCCCTCCTTTGCTAAGATAGCTCTCATCCTCGAGAGGGGAAGACTGTTCCGCACGCTTCAATTCCGCATTGAACTGCTGTCGCAAGATATCCTTGTCCTTCTGGGATAATCGCGACACCACCTGCTCAAAGGTTCCGGAAGTGACTGTACCTGTTGAGGAAGCGAAACGATCTTCACGTCGATAATTGTGGTGGAGCCGACCTAACTAGAAAAAAGAAAGACCAGAGGAAGATAGAAAAGAGAAAAGAGAAAGGGAAATCTAGTTCATGTTGATAATGATATACCAAGCACATGGTCTGACATGATTACTTAGTGGAGTTTTTTAGAATCGTAATCATTCATTAGACGTCAAAAAAACTAAAAGATCCAAGAACCATCTTCCTGTGTAGTCTCCCTATCTCCAGCTGACAAGCGAGCTATTGCGCTCTCTCTGGCCATTGCGCTTTCCCTAGCAGCTGCTGAGTCGCGACCCGTCGTCGCGGTCGAGTCGCGTGCTCCTATATACTGCGAATGGCCCAGCATTGACCCACGCACACTCGAATACCGTACAGAGGACTGGTTGACATATATCGCGTCTGTTTTTAGAGCTAACGCTTCGCTTTCGTGGGCCATCCCTGGACCCGTTTCCCCTTGAAAAAGAGGCCACGGATGATGCTGAGGCTACTCTTTGGTTGCCTTAACGTTTTCGGTATCTGCGATATTCTCTTATGTAAAAGGTTGCAGTCGATGTCGTAGTCCTTAGTGATGGTTCTGACAGAGCCATCCCCATGTCCACCTGCTGTGTCAATAGAATCTCGCTTGTGACTCTCCTGCGACTTACGAGCGTTGGCTGTGAGTGTGATGTTGTAATAGAGGAAGTAATAAATTCAACTCGTTCATTGATGATAGGAAGGAAAATGGAATTCGTCTTGATCGTTACTTATTTTGTGTTTAATTATTGCATTCTCAAAATAAAATTACAAAACAACCATTTAACAAATACAACTAGAAGTTTAGCCTCATGTCAACGAATTAGTACATGATCGTTCTGAAGTGTTGCTCACACGGTCCAGGTAGAGGCGGTCTTCAGACTCGCTGGCTAGTGTCCTTTCCCGCACAACTGAGTCTCCAGACTTATTGTACCAACGATATCCAACCGCTGGCGCAGCACCTTGTAGAGACTTAGATGATGATTAGCTATTTCTTATTCGTGAAAAGCAAATGTACAAGAAAAGCAAAGACCGAATTACAAAACAATGCGATTTCGAAGACTCATCATTTATTAATGTAGTTTCTTCTTTTTACATCAACAAATCTGTCTTAAAGTTCCAGTCTTAAAGAGCTGTTCCCCCATGCCATCCATCTTCGTGCCTTCTAGAGCTGGAACTCCCCTATCCCCAAACATGCTCTTCCTCGCAACTCTTGTTTTACATCGAATCATCACCTCACTGCCGTGGCCGATACCTGTTATGGTGAAGGAGAGGAGGAACCTCTTGTCATTAAGGAGGAACAACACAACAAATACAGTAAATGGAACTATTATCGTATCAATAAAAATGTGATCTCATAGATCACGATACTGTGTTGATAGTTCTTACTGAAATGATCATAATAAACATTATACTACAAATACCTGCTCTCCTTAGACTCGAAATCGGGTTGCCCAACATGGTTTTGTTATACCACAGCTTCTGATGTTCCACTGGTATCCCCGTCAATTTTTGCACTCGCAACTTCAAACTATCCTCAGTCATCAACTGCATCAAGTACTCATACTCTGCTGCAGTGTCTGGTGGTGGAGGGGGGGGTGATGTTGCCGAAAGATAGATAGACAGTCTGGAGATGAGGGATGGCCTGCTAAGCAAGGACATCACTGCGTAGTCAAGAATCATGGAGGATGGAGTGGGAAGCCAGGACACTGCGTAGTCAAGAATCCGTCTTAAGATCTACTAATACAAAGTCATCGAGGCCTTTGGTCTAAAACCGATAATACAAAGTCACCAAATCAAGGGACAACTCTGTGAGTGTCAAGCGAGCATACCCATGGGAGAAGTGAGTGTAGGAGAACAACAAGGTGGAATACCATTAGCTGGCTGCTTCCTCTCGTCCCGCTCACCGTAAACGTCAGTAAATCTATTACTCTGTGTTTTCGGCAAGGCTCCTCCAATCATGAGTTCCCTGTGGACCCAGAACGCCAGGCCTGTGTCAAAAAGGTGCGACGTGAGAGAAGTCCATTCAACATTTTGATGTCATGTGGATATCTTCCATCTTTCCAATGCAGCAAAAATACAAATAACCAAGCAACTTCAAATAAACTCAATACGATCGCCGCTCAAAGGGAACTTGACATACATTCGGATCAAGTCGTCGGAGGCGCAACAGCTTCGCTTTCCGGTTGCGTGACATGATATAGCGTCATGTCTTTCCAACTGGGCAAGGGGCAAACCCAAATGTGTAGAGGTTGCAGCATTGCATTCTCCAAAACATCCCTGGCTTCTTTCCTAATGAAAAAGGAAAAAAATGATGAGTCCAGAATGGTACTGGAGAATGGAATGTGGATGCCCTTAAAATGTGGTCGTTTGCCGTTGGCCAACGTGGTCACCGTCTGTTCACTGTTCTTACTCCTACTCGTAGCTTCTGTGCTTTGCTGTGGCAAACTTCGCTGCTGCACGGTGGTGGACGAGGCCCTGATATGTTATGCAGAAATGCAGCACTAGAAAAAAAAGCAGGTGGAATTCACTGTAAGTATAGAATGTTCTGTGCAAAAATTGGATACTCAGAACAAGTGTTTCGTTGTTTGTACGGAAGAAGATTTTGCAGATCCTAGAGAAGAAAACTCTATGAATACAGACCATTTCCATTCTCTATTCATTGCCAAAAAACTTAAGTACGTCCATGCCGCTGGCTGGACAGTGGATGCCTCTTTTGAAACCGCATCGTCCGAGGCAGCCGCATTCTCGGATCGTCGGCTCTCGATATAATCAAGCAGCTGCTTGTCGCTCTTCAGCTGCTCTAGCGAGACCATCCTTGTCTACATGAGTTTAATCATAATAGGATTTGGATGTGCGGCTCTGGTGACGAGGATCTGTTCTATACTTTTTTAGAAGTTCTTATACACACCCTAACGCGCTTTTTCATCACTTTTCGTCTCCTTCTTCTTCCGTTTCTCAATAGGTCGCAACCTACACTATGCAATCTTCATCTGTACTTTAGTACTTAAGTAGTAATTTCGAGTCGAGATCTCTCTGCTCTCTTTTCGTTCTCGCCTGGACATTTCTCCACTTCTCATTCAGCAGCCTGCACGTCCAATTCTTACCACATAGCATTATGTGTGAGAAGTTCCTAGAGAGGAGGCATGTTTGGATGCATTTCGAGAAAAAACAATGCGGCTATAACTTGCGCACAACTATGAGCCTATGGGTTTCTGCGTTCGATGAACGCGCGCATGCATACCTACTATGAAATTGATGAGATAGAGATTTTCCACACACAGTTTGGTGGTGTACCCAATCGCGAGGTACACAGTGTGATTTACAAGTATTTGGAATTTCTAGATAGTTGTCGTCAGTTTGAGTCTTTGTAACACTACAACATCGAGCATAGATGTTTTATTGCGGGATTATAACATCGAAATCATAAGTATTCGTAAAAATCATTCCAACTTAAGTACAGATAGATACAGATGGGCTGTAATCAACATAGGAAATCGCTTTGGAATTTCAAGGATTCATGGTCCTCATGGTAGAAATCCGAGCTTCCTCTTGCTTATCCTTGTCTGCACGCCTCCTTCGTCACGTCTGCACCAAAGCTGCTTGTTTTTTGCCACTTAAATCTGGCGGTTCTTTCGCTGTCGCCTTTGGCGGCGCTGCCTTCCGTTCTACGGTTTTTATCAACGCTCCCTTATTTGGTGATGTGCCATCCGCTCGCGCACTGGGTGCAAACTTGGTGACACTTGACGACCCTGCTGACGTGCGCGGCTGCTTACCTGCTCTTTGGAAAATGAGAAGATTGATCAGATCAGTATGAAGATTGAGAGCAGAAGAGTGAATAAGAAGAATAATGTTTTTTTTTGAGTATGGCGCACATCTTCAGCTCATTCCGACTGGCACATAAGACATCCTCAAAGCCCAAAGGATTACCTAAGATCATACCGCCTCCAGCTGGCGTTGGTGGCTGCGAGGAAGCCTTCGGAGGCTTCTTGCTACCGGAAGAAGACGCTTGCGCTTCCTCTCCTGTTGTTGCCCAGGTCCCCACCGCTTGATTAAGCATCAGCCATGTTGTCGGGAGCGAGGCTTTCATCAACCTATTTCGAGATGAATGTTTTTGAGCTGGATTTAAGGGTTTAGAAACTAGAATTTTTCGGGATTCCAATGTGATCTAAACACAACTAACTTACAAAGCTAAATACTTGTTGAGTATGAGGTCTCCTAATGAAAATGAGAAGAGGTAATGTCAACCTATGATCCTTCGAGCCCTAAAAATATCAATCGAAGAGATCTGTACGCTTCTCGCTCCTTGTTGCTGCAGCCGATGACCGTGCAAACAGCGGGTATCAAGCTCTGCGCCTTCATGTCACCTCGCTGTGCGTATTCGCAATATTTGTAGACCACTTCTAGGTATTAGAAATTTCAGAAGCAGTTTCTTCTTCTTGCGCCCTTCTTCTTGCGCTAGTCCACAGTGTCGACTTCTTGTCCTTTGAGCAATAAATGATTAAAATCCGATCAATTCTAAAGTTCGCGTAACTCAGATAAGCTTTGTCCACGTTAGCGTCTGACATCACCTCTAATTCGCGGATTCTCGTTTTCAGACTTCGTTCTTCGTCCAGGACTCTTCGTAGTCTTTGCTCCATTTCTCTCAGCGAGAATCGCAATTTCTTGCTTTCCTCGCTCTGCTCGCGGACGAATCATTATAGAGGTGTAGATGTTCTTCGCAGCCGATAACGGGGAAGAGGAGGAAGAGGATGTTGTCCCTTACATGAAGTAGGTAGGAAACAGGGGATGGAGAGGAAGATGAAAAGGAAGAGGAGGAGGAAGAGGATCGAAATTTCGTCCTCACCACTTAATGAATATAGATGCAAGACAGTGGTCGTCACATCATAACAAGTCTCTATTCGCTTGAAGTTCAGCTGCCTTCTGGATCATCCTCGTTGTGTCCAACTCCTCCTCCACCCCCTGCATCTTGCGCTCCAATTCTAAGACCTTCATCTCCTTACCAGATATCTGGTCTAGGAGTGTCTTCTTCTCTCCTGTGTGGTGGTTCTTCACCTGCTGTAGCATCTTCTGCGAAAGCTCCACCTCAGCACGGTAGGAACCCTGGGTTTTCACAAGGTTTTCAGTGGACGAGTCAAACAAAATGAAGATTGAATGGACGAGTCTCATTGCAGGCGAGGGCGACACTTGCATCCTAACAAATAACTGATTTTTCTAATATTTTAAAATGAGAGCATTCTTAATAGTACACATCAAACGTGAAGTAGGGATGCACAATTGATGCGATACCAAACAACACATCAGTACGGATGAAAACAACAAGTGTCAAATCTTCAACAATTCGTAAGTAGGACCTCAATCTGTTCGAACTTTGCAGAGAGCGACAAGTTTTCCTTTTGCAGTTGTTGTATCTGTTGTTCCAATTCCCTGGTGCGCTCATTGCTATCACTAGGACTCGTACTGCTGTCGCCGCCGTCTTGCAGCGCATCGGAGGTAGCTGTTGTTGTTGTTGTTGTTGTGGAGAGTCCAAGTGTTCTTTGTTTCCGTCTGTGACCTTAAAGGGTCAATAGGTGATGTAGATGTATGCATGTAGTCAGCTCAAATTAGGAGACATTCATAGGATGGATAAGAGACCCATTCTTCATATGATGCAGTCTGTACGTCCGTTTCCTATGATTCTGCTGGTCAGCTGCTGAGCTCGGATATTGCCCTGGGCTTTCAGACTTTGCAATTGCAATGAGAGCTCCCTGTTTTCGGCACGTAAACCTCTCAGTTCAGTCTCCAAGCTTTTCACGGACTCCCGTGTGCTGTGGACCTAATTTGGATTTAGACTTCTTTTTTTTTCTGCTGTGACCCTAGATTTCAGTGCTAGCGCTAAGAAACTAAGAAACAAACACCCAAGTGAAAATCAGAATACGTTCTGTTGTGCCACAACATTCGCCTCCTGTAGACTTCTTGTCTGCAATTGCTCTAACCGCATCCATCTCGTCCTGAGTTCTTCGTCCAATGCATTTAGACCGGCACCAAGAATTTCTGAGGACTCTTTCGGAAACACCAACCGTACAAAATCGCGAAGGGGTTTAGACGTAGTTTATCATAGACGTAGTTTGTAAGATGATGATTTATCATAGACGTAGTTTCTAAGATGATGATTTATCATAGACGTAGTTTCTAAGATGATGATTTATCATGAAGATGAGCAGGTAATGTTTTTACCAATTAAGAGATTGAGTCGGTTCTTGGATGCTCAGTGTTATTGAGGATTGTTTTCAGATCAACAAGCCTTACGTATCGAAACCTCCCTTTCCTTGGCCTCCAGGCTCTCCACATTCTGCGTTAGCAAGTCCAAATTTATCTGAGAAGTTTGACGAAGAGAAGCCGTCTAACAAATTGAGTATAGAGAATATTTATACGGACACCGAAAAAAAGAACAATGGGAATAAATATAGATGCAACCAAAATCTTCAAAAGTCTATTAATACCGGTGTCTCCTGTGCCGCGGCTTCCTCGAAGGCGGTTTCTGGATCAGGAAGTAACAACGCGCAAAACTTCAGAAATGACGCTCGATCCTCATGTAGGATTTTGTTGGCGTTAGAGGTGTCCACATCGGTCTCCTCAAGTTCACCTTTTACCAGCATGAGGCAAAGGCAAGCTCGTAGAACAGTACAATCTTCATACTATTAAGAGGCTCTATGTAGATGGGAATAGTGCGAACTCTGTCGAAAACCACAGCAAAAATGTAGCCATAATAAACCTGACAAGCTTCACATAGCGATCCTCGATCTTGTCCAGTTTCGCTTCTGCGGTTTTCAGGTCCTTCTCCTTCTTCTTGATCAGAGCAATTAGAGTCTCCCTCGGAACCTCTGGCTCTGCCATCTTTTGTTCGGGAGTTTTGTAGAAGGACGTTGAGGTAGTTGTTGTAAACGCTCGTAGTAAGAACTGGTGGTAGTTTCGTTAGTATTAACTCGTGTCTACTAGTATTATGTGCTCCTGCAGCTTCTTTTCGTGCGCGTCCTGCGAGTTCCACTGTATTTTCGCCCCTACGGAGGCCGTGGCTCTCTTCTAGACTGATTCCTCGCAGTCGTATTACACAAGGATGTTGTGGCCTAACCGCTTCCTGTCCTTTATTTTTCTTTCTCCTACTCTTTTTTCTTGGTGCGAGCGTCCACCACCAGGCTCCTTACATTCGTATAGGCGACAGTCCAGTTTTTTTCCGCAGTTTTTTCCCCCTCAAACTAGCAGCGAGCCGGTACGCAAAGCCACCGTCAGGCCCCACAGTCAAGCGCAAGCGTCATGTGTCTAGCTCAAGTGTAGAAGGGTATCCACCAAGCTGGAGAAAGGCCGCCAAAAGACTTCCAAAGCCTCCATTCTGGCAAATCGTTGTACTCGCCACGCACGATCGTGACTTGCAATATCGATGTTTGGGCCTTTCGTTGGCTCAGCAAAGCGGCCGTGCCCAGTGCTGGCGCCTCGCCCAAGTTGTACCAGTTAAGGTCCCCGTCCAATTCGTCATGCTAGTCGTCCGCGAACATTCGAGGTCAAGACGCACTGCGATCACGTTCCATGCCAAGCTGCGTGCCGGATCTGAAAATCTGGCCAAGGAGCGTTCGTGGTAGCAAGCAAACGACACTCCCGACGGACTAGAGTTGTGTTCGTATCACGAGGGTGTCGCACACGTCATTGACTGGAGACGCCGACATCCAGAGTTTTCGGTTGTACGCGCTCAGAAAACTTCTTCTCTTCGTGGTAGAAGGAAAAGGGTTATCTACACAGTTCTTTCTTCTTGAACACATACAGGGTTGGGAGTCAGGAGTCTGAAGCATTGAAGGAAACATCTCTGGCTCCGTCGGAGTACTAAACAGGAAATGCTAAAACCAAAGGACTCATTATGTTGATGTCGTGCAGCGATCCCGTTATTGTAGATACTGCAAAATTTTACTTTCGTCTTTTCGGCCTCGTTGATAGAGGTGTTCAGCTCTAGGGATGCGTCTCAGTTCGTGCACTCCCTATAAATACTGGTACTATAACAACACACTTTCTTCACGATTGACTATTCTAGCTTCAGGATGTTGATTCGTATTCGATGTTAGAATGATTATTCTGATTTTTACCATGCAATAAAAGCTATTCCAATCCCAGTAGATACAAAAGAAATCAAATTCCAATTCATTCCATGACTCATCAATCATGATTCCACCAAGTACCTCCGGCCGTCGATCGTACTAAAAACAAAGTCTCAGAAGGCACATCTGACTATTATGAACCTTGTAAAGTACTACAAAATTACTCAAAAGTATTGCGTCTTATTGGTAGCAGTATCACTCTTTCTCAATTTTGCTTCTTCCCTCTCAACGTGTCTCCTCAGAAAATCCATCTGGGTAGTGCTGGCTTGGCCACGTCCTGTGTAGTCGGAGGCGGCTCTTGGTCTCCTACATGCAGCTGAAGCCGTTGAGGAAGAACTATGAAGACCATTCATAGTAGGCGTTCTGGAACCTCCTTGCGCACCAGACTTGATGATTTAGAAGAGATGGAGTACTACTGGGTCTCGTTGTTGACTTTTCTAGTTGAGAATGAGAAACTCCCTCTTCACTAAAACCTCCTTGACTTTTTCCGTTAAGTAAAGTCGGTCCCTCTTCAATAAAACGTCGAAGGAAGTAGATAGGGGTTGAAATATACCTTCTTGTGAGGATCTTGTCTACTATCTTAAACGCCATTCCCATTTCCTGCCGATGCAGCCCCCATCGATGGCGCTCTCTGTTGTTGCTCAAGCACTCGCTGGAAGTGGCTTGTGTTTCGATGCTCGGCTAAGGATATCTTATCCGACAATTGCTCGCATTTCCGCGAGAGTCCGCGTGCCTTGTCTACACTTAGCAACGCTTCCCGCTGAAACTTCGCACGCTGCTCGCTTTCCTGTTGATCGACATGGTGGATAGAAGTTTACGTTTGCTAAGGGACCGAATACATTCTAAATCTTACTTTCCATGTGTTTTCTGACTAAGACAAATCTTCCTTCCAGGAAGCAAATACAGCTTGAAATCAAAAATGATTATAAATGAAATACATGCAATAGCTCTTCCTCCAAGTATTTCAATTTTTCCTCTAGAGCGATATTTTGCTTCGTCTGCTCGGCCAATTGTGGTTCTAAAACCACACAACGACTTCGCCACTTCTCCAGCTGCTTCAAATTTTCGGTATAGTCCACCTTCAGCCCTTCCTTATCCTTGAAAACTTGCTGTAATTCCCCACGCAGGTTTTCCGAGATTAACTGGAGGGAGATTAACTGGAGGGTAGCTTCTTGCGAGGACGCAGGTAGAGGGTACGTAGTGACAAGGAGATTGGTTTGATGATTACCAGAGGAAAAGAAATCACCTGAGAAATCACTTGTCGGAAGACAGGATAAGCAGACAAAGGGCTTCTACTAGGACCTACACGGAGTAAGAACGACAACGAGAGCAGATTAGGTGCTCGTTGTACCTGCAGAGAGTCGCGCTCCCTTTTTAATGTGTCGATTTGCTCCAGGTGCCCAGCTTCTGCCTTACAAAGCCCTTCCTCTTAGAAAACATTCGACTGAGAAATCCATCTTAGCAGCAAAACCTTTGTCCTTGAATAACTTGACATAGAAAGTATACACTACTACCCCGAATCTGAGATAACACACTTACGCATAAAGAACCTCTTGGCTAAATAGATAACCTCAACGAGACCATACTCTTTACTCCCGGAAAGCCTCTTATTTTCCTCCTCTAGTTCCCGAACCAACCTCTTCAACGCCTCTATTTCTTCTCCTTTCTGATCGAGTTGGTTCGATCTGGAACCTGGTAGTTCGTTGTGGGTTCTTGGAGAAGTCTTTTTAATGAATGTTTTGGTCTCAAAGTCGACGTTTTGTATTTATTTCTATATTTGGATGTATCAATTCCATTGTTAGAATCATGGTCGCAACGGATGTAATACTGGTGCAAGCAATCATGAAAAAAACAAAAGTACTCAATCCCTGCAGCAGTTTGACTCTCCCAGCTTCTAGCTCTTTTCGGTCCGCGAGGGTTAGAGAGGTTCATATAATTCATGTGCTGATCATATTCAATCGAGGGATTTAAGTTGTGGTGTGTGAGCACACGTGATAATTTTCTTGCGTCCAGCTGCCATAACAATAGCTCCTCGTTTTTGGCCAATAATCACCTAATAACTCAGAAGCCATAACAGAAGCTCTTCGTTTTTGGCCATTTCTAGACGAAGCTGTTCTCGCATTTTATCCTCCGATTCCCGCACTGCTTCGAGCTTAGCATCCTTCAGTTTGGCTTCGGATTCAATTTTCCCATTCTTTGCGCGTAAAGCGTCTAATCTTTCTTTATAAGCACCAAGACTCTGCTGTAGCTCCTTCGTTTCTGCGAGGATTAGACATGGGAGAAATCGCAAGACTTGACAGAGAAGGTTCGTAAATCTAAAGGATGCGTAAAATAAGGCTCCATGCCATTCTAACATAAAACTTTCAAGAAGTACAACTTCGAATGCACTACAATGCATCACCCAAATCCAAAAATCCTATCAGTCATAAAAGCAAGGCGTTCACCCTTGAGGATTTGGTCGCCAGTGCTCGACACGTTTTCTGCAGATCCTCCTTCTGCAGTTTGAAGCAGTTGAACTCCTCCTTCCACCTCTCGTTCTGCAACCTGAGCTCTGTATCCTTCCGTTCGCACTGGGCTCGAAGCGATTCACGCTGTAGCTTAACTGTGTTCAATTCGGATTCTAGGGTATGAAGGGGGAAGGAGTAGCATTCTATTTCTAGACTATCTATATGACAGCAGAATTTTTAGGGTTGGTTTTAGAGTAAACATGAAGGGACGACTTAGGACGGCTTTTTCAGCCGCCAGACTATGAAAGATTCCACTTGTGAGAAGGGCAGGCAGAAATTACTATTGATTAGGACTTGTAAAAGAATCAAGGTGTAAAGAAATAACGGGCATAAAGTTCTTCATCCATACAGGTCGTGCTGTTGTTCCTCTTGGTCCCCGTCGTGTGACCCATCTTCAGGCGAGCGACCAAACCGCGGAGCTGTCGAAGATGATGACCCGCCTTGCTGCAGCTGACCGGCTAAGCGAGATCTGTGTGGATTAGGGATTGGCTTGGGCTTGAAGGCCTAGGATTACGGTGGTTTAGGATTCAAGGAAAACGAACTCACTCGTCTGGTAGCTAGTCCCTAACTTCAATGAGCTCGTACTGTTCCTCCTCCCACAATGATCCTTCATAATAATAAGTGATTCAAGAATCAGCTAATATACTGTTCCTCCTCCCACTTCTCCTTCTCCTCTACTAACAGGGCTCTCTCCCGTTCCAGTCTGCGTATGTCAGCCTTCATATTGGCCAAGCCAGCCACGTTCAGGTTGTCCGACCGTTCCATCCGACTGTGCAACGCTTCCACTTCTGTTCGCAATGCATCCCTGTCCTGCTCTAATTGTTGTCTGGCGCTTTGTTTAGAGGCTTTCCATGAAAGGCGCTGTTTTCGTTATTACGTAGAAGCCGCTTCTTGTCTGTTCAACATGATGGAGACTTACTTTCAAAGTAGGAAAAGTGCTCCGAGGACGAAGCAAGTTCCTCCTAGGAGCAGTATGTCCGCCTTCTATAGGATAACCTATAATAGGATACGATGAGAGTGAGACCAAGACACAAAAAGTATAAGTAGACCAGCCTTAATAACAGCACTTTCTTGGCTCTCTTCCAGGAGCTTTCTCGCATCCCGTTCACGCTGTAGTTCTCCCTCTCTTTGCTGCAACAACGCGAATAGACTTGTGAATTTTTTGCATAAAAATTCCACGCTAAGCATTAGAGGGGGAGGAACTTCTAAATGCTTACTTCGATATATGACAGCGATACTCCTACAAAAGTTGTACTAGTTCCTACTACAAATTCCGATTTCTTAACTCTTCTGGGGAAGCGGCGCCTGATTCTCCGAGACTCTGCAGCAAGCTAGGTGCGGCGCCAACACTTTTCTTCTTAGGCGAAGAAGTAGAAGTGACACCCGACAACGAGGTTCGAGCAGGCACGCTCTTGCCTTGCTTATGAGGAGAAACGACTGGCATGGTGTTTTTATTGTGTGATTCAAAGTAGTGCTAGCGCTTCTTTTCAGTGCGACTGCTCATTTCAATGGTTCGGTCGTGATACAGGTCACAACAGGAGAAGACACTAGAATCAAATAGTACTTGCTCTTACGTTGTAATTATGCTATCTCACACCTCTTCAGGGTTACAAGTTGAAGTTAGAGCATTAGTATTTGCATCATCTTGGCATACTGGTGGTCAAGTAATTCTGGGGTCTTCTGTATTCTCTCGGTACAGCGTTGTAGGGGGTTGCCCTCAATCTTTGGGGTCGCTCATTAACTCATAAACGCAGTCATCTCGGGCACTCTAGTCTCCTTCATCCTCCAATTTTTCATGTCGCACGTCTCAAGTCCATACGCGGAGAGGAGATGATAAATGGCGCATCTGTATAAAAACGGTGTGTTGCTGCATCAGGTCGCAGAAGACCGGTCGTTTTGCGACGACAACATCAGATCAACGTCAGCAGCAGTAGAGCCAACTTCGCATAACAAAACAGTTGCGCATATATTGATTTCTGGGAACTCTCGAAACAGGGTCTTCCAGGTAGGTAAACTTAGAGAGATAGAGAAACCGTTCTTGGGATAATTGAGATTCGTAAAAAACCTACATATTGTATTCTTGCGTGGAATGTTCATTCTGAAGGTGTGATTTTGTGAGTGTGTGAATAGCAGCGTCGCCTGACGATGGTCCCATGAGTCTCACTTTCTGCTTTCTGTAGAACCTAATCCCAGTGTTCTCCGCTACTCGTCACTAGCGTCAGCGTACTGCAGAGAGAAGAGAATGATCACTCGCCAGAGCTTAATACAGAGATTTTGCGTTTCCTCGTCTAAAAATTTTTCAAGCTCCCTTAGCATGTCATCAGTCGTTATGCTGCCATCCCGAACCTTCAAAACCGTGTTGAAGATGTAGTCTATGACACCCTTTTCCTCTTTATCGTACAACTCCTTGACCTTCTTCGATATCCAAGGCTGGACCTGGTATCGCAGGATTGTATCGAAGGATTGTTAAAAGGAAGGATTGTGGTTAAAAAGAAGATCAAAATCTAATATCCATCGAATAAAGTGGTCGATAGACGATATTAAAGTACCATTATATATAAGCGTATAAAGACTAGATCTTCATGTAGCTGTTAACAATTTCGTAAGAGCTGCAAGAAGACCATGTTTATGTTGTCATAGTAGAAGCGAACAAATACTCAGAAAGTGCTTATTTATCAAGAGATGCAAATCTTCATCAAGATGAGTTGTACCTTATTTTCTAGAAGATTGTGCTTCTCCAACACAGCCCAGTTTATTCGGTAGCCGAAAACTGCGGATCCTTCTGGAATCGTCTGAATAACGGCACTCAGATCTTTCTTCACCACTGTCGAAGAAGAAGCTTTGTCTCCTGCATCCTCTCTGTCCTTGTTTCTATCACCATCGGTTCGATCGTCGTGTGGATATTAGAAAGCTGTAGACGGAAGAAACACATTTTCAACATACGAGAGTAAAATTTTTCACTAAGAAGTCTACATGGACCATGATGGTCTAGTCGAAGTGCTGTAATGAAAAAGAATTTACTATGTTGGCCTTAACTTTCTCCCCGTCTTCTTGATCGATCCCTTGTTCTCCTCCTGCTTCGACTCCGACTCCTGGACGACCTTTTTGTCAATCTTTCAACCGCTTCCCGTGCCCGTCTCTCTTCCTCCAACTTCATTCGTTCCTCTAATGCTCTTTGTTCCTCTCGCATTCGCTCTGCCTCTTCCTTCTCGCGTTCTGCCCTCTCAGCCGCGAAGTCTTCGTCATCCTTCTCCTTCTCCCGTTTTAGATATTCCTTTTCCCGCTCCGTCAGACCTTCGAAAACTTCGCGTCGGCGTCCTCTTGGCGCTGTCATCACCTTGGTGTCTTGGTCCAGCTGGTACTTCACTTGTCGCGTATAGGCGGCGTCGCTGCGAGGAACTAATTCGGAGGTGCCTTTTTTAGTTTCCGATGGAGCTGGAAAGGAAAAATCAAGCGAGAGTACCCGAGACGTCAAATAACAACAATCTTAGACCAAAGAATGGAAGACATCGAAAACAATTTCCATTTACCACCAATTCAAACACGTACTACTTCGTATGCAAGTAGTAATGCTGAGTATAAAGTACTTTTACTTATGCTGAAATTAATACCATCTTCTCCGGGAGTCAACATTGGTGTGACATTTCCATCTACAGTTTCTATTACTCGGAGACTGAGAAGCAACTTTTGAAACGATTTCAAGTCCTTGTCCTCCTGCTTTTCGAATTTCCGTATCGCAAACTCATCTTCCCTAACCTGTCGCCTCCTCTCTTCCTCGTACCTATCTTCCCGCTCTCGCTCCTGTGATTTGATGTCGTGGTAATGGTTGTATAAAAGATGAAGTAGCTAAAAGTGAGTACTTATAAGATGAAGACTTGTAGTAGTTGTCATCAGTAGAGTCGCGTTGTAGAAAGAAGTCGTTGAGAAATTGTCAACCCTGCTTTTTTAGAGAACGAGAAAGCCTTGGCTTCAATACCTTCCGATGCGGTCTATAATTCGCAGACAGCACGCCTCCTGCTCCTTTCTGCCGTTTTTTGGCGTCTTCTGCGGCATCTTTTTTCCGGATCCGTTCTTCCCTTTCTTCGTCGTCCCTTTTCTTTCGCGCAGCTGCTTCCTCAGCTTGCTTTTTCTCCTCCTGCATCCGTTTCAGCCTAGCATCCCATTCCCTCTCTGCTTCGGCAGCCTTGCGCGTCCGCTCTTCTCTTTCTTCGGGACTTATAGACGCCAATTCGGCTTCATACTCCGCATTTGCTTCGTCGATTTTTAAACGAATCTCCTGTCTAACCCCTGCCAACTCATCTAACAGGAAAACGTCCACTTCCTCATCTGTGATGGGCTCTTCGACAGCCGCGTCGGACTCTTGTTTCTGCTGCTCCCCTTCCTTCATCTCGTTTTCAACATCCACGACTCCTTCTCGTTTTTGGTGCACTATGCGCACACAGAGTGTGGGGTTTTCCTTGCGGAAACGTGCTCGCTCTGCCTTTCGAAACTTTTCTAGCTCCGGTGTTGCGTCCTCGTCAACGCGAAGTTGCAGGTTGGAACCAGTCAGCTTCATCTCCTCGGATAAAAACGCCCTATGCTCTCCTGATAAAAACGTCATCGCATGGCTAAGACCACGCATGTCGGAGAATTCACACAACGCGAATTTCGCCAATATAGGTTAGAGGACGAGAAGAAGAAGAGAGGATCTCTCTGTAGGCGAGGAAGATAAAATATCACGTCATATCATTCAAACTCGTTACTGTATTCATTGTATAGGCAAAAAGACTACGCTGCTATGACGGAAAATTTCTTTGCAAGAATGTAAGAAAAAAACACTTCAACAAGAAAACCACAACTCATAATTATTCGTTATCGGATTGCTTTGTCGCGTCCACTCTTTCACTTCGCCGCATGCACCAAGCAGCCCCTTCAACGTTGCATCTGATATTCCTTCTGGAATCCTCGATACACACAATAACGCCTTTACAACCTTGTCCTTGGTGGCGGGTGTACTTGGTGGGGGTCCCACAGCTATGCTACAAGAAGTTGCACCTCCTGCATTAATATTTCCTATTGATCCTAATGTTCCTGTGGAAGTGTTCTTTGCGTCTAGATGTGCCGGTGGTGCTGACTTTGGTACCGAAGCCGCGTTTAAATTCGGAGTACTACTATTAGCACCCGGAAGTAGACCTCCTGTAGTTGCAGGTCCAACTCCACTGTTATTCATTCCGCCATTCATTCCAGGAGGGAGCACCGATGTTCTTGTACTACTACCAGCAGAAGCAGAAGCAGTACTGGTAGCTGGTGGCTGTGGTGCTGGAGGAACACCAGGGAGCGGTGTGTGTGTCGCTACTGCTCCAACTCCTGTAGGTATCATATGGCCCATCATCAAAGGGTTCATCAACATAGGATTCCCCATACCTCCAGCATTGAGTAATGGATTATTCACAGTCATATTTGCCGCCATGTTTGCCATATTTGCCGCCATGTTGGCCATGTTTGGCATGCCTCCGACCATGTTTCCCATGCCTCCCAGAGCAGCAGGATTTCCTCCAGGGGTCATCGTCATCATGTTAGGAAACGCCGGCATTCCCCCAGGAGGTGTCATTCCCATCCCATTAGGCATCATCCCGTGAGGAAGACCAGGATTAGGTGCACCATTGGGCATCCCATTGGGTATCATACCTGGTAAACCACCAAGAAAGCCTCCTGGAGGTGGAAACGCCATTTTTTTTTTGATTATAATTATAATATAGTGCTTGCAGCTGGCGCTAGTAGAAAGTCTTAATAAAGTGGTTCTTGGAATAAAAACCTCTTGAACCAGCACATCCACGAGGCGTGGTGGAGGTGGTTACAAACAAGAACTACAAGCCAAAATAACCTTGCTACCCTTAGATAGTCGAAAAAACTATTGCACAGATGAGACGAGAAACTTCCTGTCAACATAATTACGACACTAACTACGAGCAGCCGTGGTCGTTCTCATTTCTAGCGAGCATCTACTTGCTCTGTAGTAGGGCAGCAGCATGATCAAGCATGAGTGAGAACATTATATACGCTGAAGTATCAGCAACGAAGACATTAGATGGTGGCAAAAATTCACGTCACAAATACAATCATACACTCCCCCTAAACAACTGCTTCTTTGAATGGATGAACAAGTAACGTTTTATATGTGATGAAAAGTGGTCAGATGTTGAAAATTTATCTTTATGAGGAGATCATGCGCGGCACATATTCTATTCGGGGAGCAGCCAGTCAATATAAAATTCTTTGAAAGCTGCAGATGTTCAATCTGATTTTGATTTTTCCTGCTGTAGAAAACTTCGGTGGTGGTTCAAGAACTGATGCGAATCTACTTGTGTCGCGGTAGAGTTGTATGTTTGCAAACCCATGTTTCTCTTTCATGATCCCGAAGAAGTTCCTCCAAAAATAAGATTGTATTCTGCTTCACAACACCAAAAGACTAAGCTGCCCTACTCATCTTTTTATATACAAAATTCATTTTTGAACGACATCTTCACAACTGTAGAACGAGACTCGGCAGGTCCAAAATGTGGCGGAATGTCAGACTCAGATTGATCAGGGGGTTTTTTGTTTTTGTTTACTCAACATCATGTGAAGGCACCACCTGCATGTGAAGAACACCCTCCAGCCGTTTAAGTTCTCATTGCGTCTATTGTCCTTTTAGTTGGCGTCTCGGAGACCAAACGCTGGGTCTGGCATGGGTTTGGCATTGACCTCTCCATTAATAAGAGCCGCTACATGAGTGACGCCTAGTTTCATCTATAGAAATAAAGAATTAGAACACTTGTAACCCTCTTTAGATGAAGGAAATGTTGTTCAAGAAGTACAGGAAAACGTTCGTCGGCTCTTGTCTTTCTGGCAATTCGTCAGGGAGCCTGCCTAGAAGTTTCGGGGCTGACGGTTCGGCCGAAGAAAGTACTCACGTTAGAGATTTAAACCAGCGGCGTCGCCGTGCTAGCCGTTCAGCCCTAGCACCGGCGCCCCGGCCCCGGCCCTCGCTTCTCTCCGACTCCTCGCATTCATTAAATTCTGACCCACCCGCACAGGTGTCATGCTGCTGTCGCCGGGTTTCTTTTTAGGGTGGCGGCGTTGGCTAGTCACTATTTCAATTGAGTAACCTTTTTCAATTTCTAGAGGCTTTGGGATCGGTTTGGAGAGACTCCAAACTTTTGCAGAATGATCCGAGCAGCGTCCAAAACCTGAAAAAAATGCTAGCAAACCAAAAAAAAATGAAAAAACGGGCACAAAACAAGAAGCGCCAGAAGGTTGGAAGAACCTACTCGGGCTAGAAGCGTAAACACCGGGCGAGGCCCCCGCTCGGCGTGTAAAAACCTAGCCCCGCGCAAGGTTTCGCCGGCGGCCTCTTGCGAGCCTGCCGGAGGCTTCGCGAGGCCGATCCAAAGGGCCCTGCCCAAGCCTCCCCGGAGGTGCCGCGAGGGCTTCCCGAGAAGCCTGGAGAAGGCTCACCCAGGGGCCTCGATCGAGCTGCCGCAAAGGCTTCGCGGCAGCTGCTTCAGGGAGGCTCCGCGGGGGCTCGGTCCCGAAGGCTTCACAAAAACAATCGCCGAGCCTTCCAAGGCCCTCAGCCAGGGGCGTCTGAAAAGCTTCGCGAGAGCTATGGGAGACATTTTCTGAGGGCTTCCCCAAGGCTTCGCGACAGCCTGCGTGCTGGTGGAAATCTTCGCGAGACTGAGCTGCCCGAAAGACTTCAAAAGAACCGTCAGAAAGGCCTTGGCATACCTTTCGAAAAGGCGTCCCGGAAGGCAGCGCAAGAGCTTCGGGAAAGCCCGGGGGAGCTTCTGCACACGCTTCGCTGAAGCTTTCCGAAAGGCTTCGCAGGAGCTCGTAGACAGACTGACCCCGAGAGAGCTTCTCGAAAAGCTTCACAAGAGCCCCCCAAAAGACGTCACAAGAGCACTCCGAAAGGCTTCGATAGGGCTTCGCCTCCCGACCCCGAGCGAGCTCGTGGCCCCGTAGCAGTCCAGCCCACACGGGTCTCCTGTAAGAGAGGAAAATGGAGGGGGAAACAAAAGAGAAGACAAAGGCAACACAAGCGGGACCGCGTCGACCGGGTCAGCACTGGAGAACCACGCGCAGCCAAAGCCGCAGCATCGTCATACCATGCCCCGCCCAAGTCCCTCCCTTTGCCTCTCTTGTTTTTCTCCCCGCTTCTCGCTCCTCGAGATTCGAGGGCGCGCCGCGGTGGCTGCTGGCAGCGGGCTCCCTGCGGTTCACAAAGAAGGAAGAAGAGCAGAGAAGACGCACACGCAGCGCGTCGCAGCCTGCCCCGTATGGGTTTCACGCTCAGCGTAAGCCGTAGGCCTGGCCCGATTTTCGAGCATGCTGCGAGCTTCGGCCCTGCCTCGGGCCCCGGGCGTGCTTCGGGCTCGCCTGTTTGGTTTGAGGCCGGGCGGGCTCCCGTCGGGTTTGGTCGGCTTGCGCTGGGGTTTTGAATGTGTTTGGCTCGCGTATGCGCTTGGCGTGGGTTTGGTTTGGGTTTGGCGGGGTTTTGGCTCAGGTTTGCGCCTGAGTTGGTTTGGTTTTGGTTTGAGTTTGGCCCGGGCTTGGTTTGGGTTTCGGCTCGGTTTGCGTTTGGTTTTGGTTTAGCTCGAGGCTGGTTGGCGTTTGGTCTGTGTTTGGTTTCAGTTTCGCTTGTGTTGGGTTTCAGCTTGGCCCCAGTCTGGGCCTCGTTGGGTTTCTTTGGCTTGGGTTTGGCTTAAGTGGGTTGCTTAAGGCTACCAGAAAGCGGCGCACTTTTGCACGCCTTTCAGCCTGGCCCCTCTGGTCTTCGACTTTTTTCCTGGTGGTGACTGGGACAAAGTAGACACAAGCTAGCAACTTCTGGACCATTTTCCAACTTGGGCCCTCGCTCAGAGCTTGCATCTTTTACCAGTGGCGTCCAAAAAATTTCTTGCACGACTTAGCAACTTCTGGGCCATTTCTTCAGTTGAGGCTGCTAGTCTCTAGCCTTTTCCAGTTGTGTCCAGGATTTTTTGCACGGTTTCGCAACTTCTCCGCCAGAGTATACCAGCCCCAAGCTGAAAAACGGCCCAAAAGTTGCCAGGGCGGCCCTTGCTGGGCGTTTAAGCTTCTAGCGCGACTAGAAACCGCGCACGCGTTCGCGGCTTTCTATGTTCTCCCGTTTAAATTTTCTGAATTGTTAGCATTTTTGTAATTTCTGGAACTGTAGAGGCCCAAACTGTGAAGGTCTCGAGCTTCAGAAAACTCAAGCACACCGCTGCAGAAATTGGCAAAGGTGTAAGCTTTGCCAAATCGACGAGCAACCGCAGCCGCCAAGGAAAAAAAACTGGCGAAGGGAGTTTCATCTGATCAGCTTTTTTTTCGCCGTGCAGCGACTGTAGGTAAAAAAATTTTTTGGATGGGAGTGGCTGCACGGCCAAAAAAATTCATCAGAAGAGATCGCCTTCGACAGCTTTTTGCTTTGTTTTGGAGAAGGTGGCGAGCAAGATGCAAAGTCGTAAAGTTTGCGCCTTTTTTTTTCTAGGCAGCACCGGCAAAAATTCTGCAGGGTGCGGGTTTCCAATTAAAAAGATGCCAAAAAGCTCGCAAGTTGCTGCCTCCTTTTCTAATTAGCACCGACAGAAATTCTGCAGGGTGCTGGTTTCCAATTAAAAAGATGCCAGAAAGTTGGCACCCTTGCCCGGCGTTTAAAATTCTGGCCCTGCATAAGGAAAACCGCGCACAGCCTCCCAGGCTTTCCGAGGAGCTTGGAGGAGGCTCACCAATG